TATCGCTGATAATTTCCAATTATAAAAAGGCGTACTTTATGTATAAAGGAATAATTTCGTACAAGTGTATATTCACCATTCCTATATTTTTAGAAGAATCAGCAGAGCTAAGAAAAATGGCCAAATCTGACTTGTACAATATTATACTTAAAGAGAATGATGAAGATATTTGCTCCAATTTCTCACGTTTCGAAGCGTATACAAAATTACATCTTTCCATTTTTATAATTTTAAACGACACCAGAGAAGTGTGGAGTTACATATCTGAGCTGTTTAACAGTGCGTATAGGAGAAAGAAGTATATTTACTTTTGCCTAATTTATTCTGCCCTGGACGTTTCGTCTCACTACTGCAAAATAACATTCACTAGTCATTTCGAGAATTTACTGCGGTTATTGAAAACAAACCTCATGCCCATTTTGGAGGACGAATTGAAAAAGAAGCCGCCCCCATCCAGTCAGGAAAAGGTTGTGCAGTATTATATTAAGAAGCTGCATGTGGAGCATTTGGACAATTTGTCCAATTCTTCTTTGCCCGAGGGGGTGGTCGTCCTGCCCGATGAGAAATTGTTGTACATGGGTTTGGGGCCATAGCAGCGGTTTCGTGATCGCTCAAGTTAGCGGCCCTATGGTTTGTCTCTTACGTAGCTGTTTTTTTTTTTCTTGTTTTTGTGCCAAAATGGGACACGTGTGCCGTTCACAGGCAGAAGCTTTGCACATGCGAAAGGTACACCGCCTACGAGCACCTTTTTTCTTTTTCTATTTAGTTACATATTGGTTTGTAGTTTCGGATGCCCCCTTTTTCGTCGCACCTTTGGCGTTCCTTTTTTTTTTCTCTTTTTTCTGTATCAATTGAAAAAATTGTTTGTCTTTTTTACACATGCGTATAGTGCAGAATTTGAATTGAACTTTTTAGCTTCCCAAGGAGGAGTTGAATTATTTTAATTTTATCTTTGCCTTTTCGGTGAGTTTCTTCTCTGCTGACTGGTTCGTGATTGTCACGATTGAGATAGCCTTGTTGAGTCGCTCCTGTAGCCGCAGCGTGACGCACCAGGGCATACCGTACAGAAACATATGCACGCCTGTATTTGTTATGTTACCTACATGAACTTATGTGCATACATGTGCCAAGTGGTATAATCCTTCTTAAAGCGTCGCGCGTCGTTTTTCCTTTGACTATGCTGTGAATTTTTCCAAAAAATTATTAAACCTGTTTTCCCTCCCCCACCTGAAAGTGCGAGGGCAAGTCAACTGCAACGAGCAGGCCCAAACTGGTAATGTGTAAGCAGAGTTGGAGGTCTACATATTGACGTATGCTGCTTCGGAGAAGGAAAAAAAAAATAGTATATTCTTTAAATGGCTCATTTTTGTTTATAAATATTGCCAAATATTCTTTCAAAGAACATAATTTTATATTTTTCAGAGAAGCAATTAATGGGTACCATTCGTAGGAGGGGGTGACGAACAAAAGGGAAAATCATATCTGCGTTCCCTTCTGGGCATATACAAGTAAACCCATTATGACATCACTGCTTTTTTTTTTTTTTTATTTTAATTTATCTATGAACAAAATGGCTATATGACTTTGTTTAGAAATGGCTGCACTCTTCTTGTTCACTGTGAAGAAGCAAAATTTAGAGGAAACTCTACTTGGCATTTTTCCGAACATGATTCTAAATTTGCTGTATTCATTTTTAAAGATAAATGTTTCAAAAATAACATATGCTTTTTTTTTTTTTTCTTCTTGTAAAAAAAGTGTACATAGATGTACGAGTACCATAAGAAAGATGTAGTGTGTCACTTGGAGACGCATTTTACATTCGTTTGCGTACCGTACTTTTTTTTTTTTTTTTTTATTGTTAACCGATCGAAATCGAAGTGTTTGTTCAGAAGAACAGACTTAGGAGCGTCACAGTTGTACGTACTCATGAGCATATATGTAACCCAAATGGCAAGCTCTAAATTTGCAAAGAAATTGTTGAAATTGCCACAGAAGCATTGCTTTCGAGAAAAGAATTTAAGTTAGAAGTTTCGGAAAAGGTGAAAGCATTTTCGCGATTCTGCTATTCAGCAATTCGGCCATTTGGCAGCTTCTCCCTTTTTAAATGTGAAAATCGTACACAACTTTAAGGAATGATACTCAATTTGTCGCTGTACGCGAAAATAAGTGTATTAGATCCAAGCACATATAAGCGCACGTTCGCGTACGCGTATGCAGTGCGTACAAAATTGTGCTTGTACATTTGTATGCTTGTTTAAGCGGGCTTATCGTGCAAAATGCGATTACGATTACGTGTTTTTTTTTTATTTTTTTTTTTTTGAAGCTCCCCTTATTCATTTCAAGTTTATAATAAGCAGGAACTTTTGCGTATACGAGTGCTGTGTATTTCTTGATACAGTTATGGTAGCCACATTTATTTTCATTTGACGATTAGAATTGTAAGCTTATATGTACGTAAGTGTACATAGGCGAATTTACGTGAACGCATTTGCTCCAAATGTAGTGCTTCTGAGTGTACTGCTTCTAAGCTTCTTACTTCTAAGTTGTTGCCTCTAAGTTGTTTCTTCTAAGTTATTGCCTCTAAGTTGTTGCCTCTAAGCTCGTTGCCTCTAAACGTATTGCTCATGAACATACATGTAATTAAAACTTCGACGCAGGAATTCCCTCCAGAATTAAAAATTCCCCAAGGAGGCCAAAATCTCTTCCTTCTTTCCCCCCTATTTTGTTCTTGTCTGCAAATGACTGCGTGAGCGGGAAGTCGCGCGAGTTGTGTTTTAATGTGCATCTATATGTAGGCGTGCAGTCGCGTAGTCGTTCTGTTTTGCAATTTTTTTATACAGTGGTGTGCGCCAAGGGATATATATCCATGTGCATGGCCGCACATATGTGTATTTATGCATATGTACACAGACGTGTACGTATGGTGCGTTTGTTTCTTTCCTGTTTTTTTGTCTGTGCGTAACATATATAGGTATACGTACGCGTGCGCATACGTTGTTTATGTGTGTGTCCCTTCGCAACCTTTTATTGCCCAACTTTCTTGTAAGTCGATTTCTTCCAAGCAGTTGACAGCGCGTCAATTCGGAAACGTTCCTAGGTGGATGGTATCTAATATGTGCTCCGCCCCCCATTCAGGAATATACACACAAGCGCATATACATATATGAACACATTTATAAAACACTCAAAGCAGAGACTAAGGCACATGTGCTATACACCCGCTTGTGTGCACGAATGCATATATGCACGATACAATTTTCAGAATGAAAATATAAAATATGACGTTTTTTTTTTCGTTTTTATAAAATTGTTAATATGGAAATTAAGAAGAACAACGTATCGTTTTAAAAAAAAAAAAAAAGGATCATAACAATTTTACGAATTTCTTTTTAACCTAAATAGAGTGATGTACAGACTTTGCTTTTTTTTAATTCATCCATATATGCATGTTCTTGAACGAACTTTTATAATTAAATATGTGGATTCGTATGCCCTACGCACGTACGTGTAAATGTGTCAGGACGTATGTACGAATAAATGTTTGTGGGTATATATGTGTATATATATGTACATATATATATATATTTATTTACACATTTTGTAATTTTTTTTCATTTTTCACCAGGTTCAAACCTAGCCGATTGTTTAATTTCATCCCCGCGTGTTTAACGTTTATGCCTATGTGAATTTTTTTTTTTAACCCCCCACCCCCCAATTATTTGTCTTTCTGTTATTTCCAATTTTCTAGTTTACCAACACGAAAAGGTATCGTTTTCCTGATTGGTATACACAGAAAAGGGAAGAGAGGAAAGAAATGCGAAAGGTAGCGCAAGCAAAATAAGGAACAATGAAGTCTTTTTAACTGTTCTTTTTGCGCTTCAAAAAAAAGGCTTTACATATATTCATGAGTGACACAGGACATTTCACGCCTTGGCGTAAATTTGAAGGGCATTTGCGTGGCGTCCCTTATTTTTTACGTTCCTATTTATTTTTACACTAAAGTTTACAAAAATTTTTACACCAAGTTTTACACTAAATTTACAGTAAATTTACACCAAATTTATACTTAATTTTACCCTTAATTTTACATTTAATTTTTTATTTACCCGTTTCGCATTATTCGCTCGCGTTCTTACGCGTACCTATCACCTGCCCATCTATGCATGTATATGTAGTGCTACTACGTATAATACGGGAGTAAGCCCGAGAAGACGCCCATGTTTAAGGAAACGCGCTTACATATAGAGAAATTTAAAAGGCCCCTCCCCCCAAGTTACATTTTCAAATAAGCAAATCTACCCGCGCAGTTTTGTTTGTTTCGTTATATTAACCCCAATTTGTTTATCACCATTACTCTGCGTGTATTTAATATTGTTGCTCATTTTTCCTTTTTCGAATGTGCCCTTACTAGTGTAAGAGTGGAATAGTTAAGGCAAGTGAAACATTAATAGTTAAGCGCGTACATGTGTTCATTTTTTATACAAGCGAAGTATCCTTAAGTGACAAAATGTGCAATATATGTAGTCCTTTCAGTTTTTTTTTTTTTTTGGATGATTTGTTAATATTTTTTTTATCATTATATCCCATTTTTGCTGATTTGTTAATAATTTTTTTTTTTCACCTTTTTTTTAGGGCCTTTTAGCATTTTTAGCTATTTTGGCATTTTTAGTTATTTTAGCTGTTTTAGCCTTTTTAGCTGTTTTAGTCATTTTTGCTGTTTTAGCTGATTTAGCTTTTTTGGGGGGGTGGAAATATAAGACGATTTACGTGTGTATGCAATTTAAATTTTGCTTCTCCTCCCTATCTATTTACACGAATATACACCCCTTTACACGTGCTTATAAGCAGATGACGCACACATATGTATTTCTACGAACATATTAGCAGTTCTGCATACGTGTAATAATTTCCGTGCCGCCCCATTTTTGAACATTTCTAAATAGAATCATGTTTTTTTGGTGTTTATTGTAACATACATTTATCATCTTTTGAACGACAAAATGAATTTAATAAAAGGCGCCAAAAACAAACCGCAGAAGCATTCCCAAAACAGATATGTGAACAATAATACAAAATGTAAGAAAATTTTTAGTGCACACAGAATTAAGCAGTTAGCTAAGGACAAGAAATTGTTGGATGATGCTTTGTTAGATTGTTATGGAAGGTTCATAGCTTTACTTCCAGAATTCCTACTGAAGGATCATGTGCACTTGTACTTTCAAATTCAAGAGGCATACTGGTGGTACGATGATATGTGGCAGGATAAATACCCAGACAAGTTACCAAAATTAAGTTTAAAAACGTTTGGTTATTTAATATGCGATGATTGTCCAATATTAAAAAAATATGTCCCACCGTCAGCTCATGAGAAGTTCTCCCTAAATTGGAGAAGATACTGCAGAACTATACCGCTGAGAGGTGCAATTCTTTTAAATCATAATTTAAAAAAATGTCTATTGGTGAAGGGTTGGAGTACCGATAGCTGGTCCTTTCCAAAGGGGAAAGTCGACGAATTGGAAGAAGACTCCGTCTGTGCATGCAGAGAAATTTATGAAGAAATAGGAGTAGACATATTCCCATACATCGACGAGGAGGTTTTTATCGAAACGCATATAGAAGACCAGCCCGTCAAGTTGTTCATAATACCAGGGGTAAAGGAAGAAACGTATTTTCAGCCAAAAACGAAAAAAGAAATTGGAGGCATTCGGTGGTTTGAAATAGAAAAACTTTTGGAACATATAAATTTAAAAAATAGAAAAAGTATCATGTTTGAAACTAAGAAGGAGCGCATTAACGAATGGTTCGTTGGTCCCTTTATTCCCAATTTAGTCAGATGGATCGAAGTTTTAAGAAGATCTGTGCCTGCAAAGGATCTGAAAGGAGGAAACTCCTTCATAGAAGGCAGCATCCAAGCGTATAAATATCAAATAAGTGGAGTTGACGAGGCTGTTATTAAAAAGCTTCAAACGGTCAATTTGAACTCGAAGGAGATAATAAATATCGGTTTGTTCAAAAGCGATGACGATTTGGAAGAATACGACGATGAGAACGGGAATGTGAATCAGAATCATGCCTTATTGCCGAAGGACGTGGACGAAGGGATGGTCTCCAAGCAGGTCACCACATCGTATGCTAATTATAACAGCGCTATTAAGGTCCCAGGAGTAGATAAAAATAGGGGGAGCTTTACCAATCAGGAGGGTGTTAAGAACAGCAGCACGTCCAGCAGTGTTAGCAATAGGAAGATTGACAGAAGGAGCATCGGACCGAATACGAAACAGAGTAGCACAAATTATTACAACGAGGAAATGGTTTCTATAAGAAGCGAAGGAACTATCGGTCAAGGTTCACCACCATTGTACGATGGCATGAACTGTAACGGTGTTACCCATTCCTTGGACCCCATGCTGGAGAAAAGCGCGTACGTTGAAGAAAGTACGTATAGTAGGATGCAGAAAGAACTCATGGGAAATAAAAAAGTGTATGAGCATGTGGACGACGCCATCGTGCCATTGAGGAGGGAAGATATATTATTAAGCAGTTCGGCGCATTATCCAGATCGAGCCATTTTAGGAGGACTACTGAATGAGAACAACGGTAGCAGCAATCTGGGAAATAATTACAAAAATAATGGAGTGAGAAGTACGTACAACACGATCAATACCAACAGCAGTTGCACCAAAAAGATGAGTAGAGAGGTGAAAAACAATGGTAGCCCCGGAAATGTCGCGCATAAGGATCTGTATGGAGTGGAGAGTTACCCGTCCCCCATAAGCGAAGTTAACAGTTGTGCAGTAAAAATGTCCTTCAAACAGAACAGCCTCAGGGTTAACCATGGCGAGAATAAGAAAAACAGTGTCACTATCAATAGCAGTAGCAGCGGCAGTGGTAGCAGTAATGACAACAACTACGATAATAGCAACTATAGCAATAAGAACAACTATAGTAATAAGAACAACTATAGTAATAAGAACAACAATAATAAGAAGGCCTATCATGGGCCGAGCAGCAACAGTGCGTACAAGAAAACTTCCACTCCGAATGGTAATAATTATGGGAAACATTACGGCGAATATGATCCTGCACGAGCGAAGGGGTATCGCTACAGCTTGAACAAGACGCGAATGGGGGGACCTTTATCAGCCCTACGATTGAAGGAGGTAGGATTGAGAAGCTTTGACGATCAAGACATGGAAAAGAGAAAAAATTTCCACCTGAAAGTCTATGGCAATAAGGACAAATTGAATGGTGATAAAGCGGAAATACAAAATCGATATAAAAAATTAAGTTCGAAGAATCCGTATCATTCTGTAGATGATGCCTCTGTGTATTACGTGCCCACGAAGAATAAGACACTGGATGCCTGTAATGAGGAAACCTTTGGCGAGAACCACACCAACGGATGGACCGCAGAAGACATGTTCAAATTGAATGAAGAAAAATTTGGCATTCATTCGACGTACAATATAGAGGAATACACCACCCCCCTAGTTTATAAGGAAGAGAAAATTAGTAGGTATAACAAGAGCTCCAAGATTAAGGAGGGCATTACTCCGCCCCTGGTAGGTAGCAGTAACAAACAGGGTGATGGTGGCTACAATATTAAGATCAGTGGCCCCGAGGAAATGGGTAGCCATGTTCTTGGAGAGGGAAAATATGGAAGTAGTAGTAGCAATAATAATGACAGGAATGAGAATAACACTGTGGCGCGGTCCAAGGGGCTGTTCCAGAACAGTGCGGAGAAGGGGAAAGCAACTCACAGCCTTAATGCGAACGGGTACATAAACGTGAAAGCCTTGTTGGCAAGAAAAATGAAGATGACGCCGAACGGTAACCTCCTACGATTGAATGATAAAAGTGCGAAGAAAAGTATTAGTTGTGTTAGCAATAATATGAGCGACACTAACAGGGGAAAGGGTTTACTGAACAGCAGTAACGCAATTGTGAATTTTATCAATGGCTGTTATGTTCATCACGAGGGGAATGGCGGCGCGGATTCAAAGAGGGGGATCCAGGTTGACATCACTGGCAGTAACGACGTTCACCTGTTAAACGGTATTAACGGTGTGAGCGGAATGAACAGCGTCAGTGGAGCGAATGGTACAAATCATGGAAGCAAGAATCCGAGTGACAACTTCAACCCAGAAGTCGGTCGCATGCAGGAAAGAAGAAGCAATGTAAACGTAGACGTAATTCAAGACGAAATGCTAAGAAAGTATAAGCTGAAGGAAGGCTATGGCGTCATGAAGAAAGGAAATGTGAGCCAAAATAGAGTAAACAATTTTGTCGATTTGCATAAGCCTTCCATTCGATACAGTGACATCAGTGCTGACAAGAATTACAAAACAGAGTCACAGACGAACAGTAGTGGGAATGCTCCCCTTTCGAATGAATACCTGCTAAATGCAGCTAATCGGAACCACAAAATGAACATGTCGGGCGACGTAAATTATAAAAATAGAAGTGCATGTTATGACGCCAGTTATATGAACGCAGGGAAGGACAATAACAACTTGGTTAACAAATCGAACGCAGGGGAATATTTGAATGGGAGCATTTTGGGGCTACGAAAGGACGGAATGAGTAGTGAAGGTGTTCCTGCATACAGAGGTGTACCGAGCCGTAGCTCCTTGGGGCGAAGCTCTAATGGAAAAAATAAGTTAACCCAATCTGATTTGAGGATGAATAGGGAAGTGACTGATAAAAGGGAATATTCACATTTAGATGGTGAAGGTATGGGTCTTTATCAAATTAAGGAAAAGGGAATTGATGCTTCGAAGGAGGCTAGCCAAGGGAGCAATAACAGCAATAACCGCGGTAACCGCAGCAGCCATTCCAATGAGCCTGGGAAATACTTGCTAAATTTAATCAAGGGAACGGCAAAATCGGATGTGCCAGCCGATTCCAATTTAACCAATCACAATCGTAGTAATGCCAGCCGGGCTAGTGTCATGTCAGGAAGTAGTGCGAAACCGTTAAGTGAAAAGGAGATATTGTCCAAATTTTACAGCAGTGAAGCTCGTAATAATCATGCTTTTACTAAAAAGGTTAACTCGGCGCATACTTCCACAGGGGACAAGAGAGACTCCATCCATGATGGGGAAAGGCACGATAACTACAGAAGTGTCATTGCGAAGGATAACTTAAAGATGCAAAAAAACAGAAGCAGAATGAGCCAGGAGCATCTTATTTATGATGGCGCTGGTGGGCGCGATGCACAGGAGGAGTTAAACTTTAACGAGATGGAGCTGATGGAAAAGCTGACGAAGCATTTGAACAGTTACAACCCCTTCGAGTAAGACCCGCGCGTGGGTGTCTATATGTGGGGCGTTCTTTGCCAGGGGGTAGATATAGTCCAGCTAGCACAGTATCGATTGGGGGAAGCGGTAAAAGTGGTCACATCGCATGGTGGTCGTAGTAGAAGTATTAGTCGTAGTTGTGGTCATTGGAGGTAGAAGAACTCCAAATTAAAGTAAAGGCACAAACGTTCGAACGGAACAATGCAGCAGGCTAAAGAGGAAGATGCCAGCACTTCAGCAGGTGGGGGGAGTTTATACAAGCACGTGTTTTTTCACAAGTCTGAATGGGCGGGACGAACTATTTATTTGAGCATCATAGTGGAGATAATGAGTTGTGTTAGTATAACATTATGGGGAGTGGGCTAATTGTAGACACCTTTCTTTTCTTTTTTTTTTGCGAAACGGATTTGGCATGTCATTTTCAATGTTGCGTTGCTTGGGTTATGTCACCATGGAGAACGTTCGGCCAATACGAATTGCCGTTGTGTGAGTGTTAAATTTTTTATTTTTAACAAGAGTGTATTTGTGTTAATAACGATAATAATGTAAAACTTATTAATTTTTTTTTTTTTTTTTTTTTGATGTTTTATGTTTTCACTTATTAATAAGCAGTGATACGCTGTCATTTCGTTAATGTACCTTTCGACGTTATGATTTTAGAGAGTGCGCTGAATTCGAGTTGCAGCTTTTTTACTTAATTAAAAACGCGGGGTTCACACGAGCGCATCTGCATATGCATATACATCTGTATATATGTGTGTGTATCACTGTTATGGTTAATTCCTTGTTTCCCGTTTTTTGGTTTTCCCAGTTTATCACCAATTTTTTTTACCCCCTCGGGCGTGTCAAAATTTGTGAATGGGGTGTGCACGCCTACGTAATCGTGTGTATGCCGCCTGTGCTGTTTGTGTCGTTTGTTCCGCTTATACAGATGATGTCGTGTAGCCATTTTTTATCATGTTAGCCCCATGTCACATCTGCGGGCCTTAAGAATGCATCCCCGTGAGCAGTCGTATTTTAAAGCCGTTACGAGATCTAGTTACTACCACGGGCTGTTACCACGTTTATGCGTACCCCCATGCGCCCCGTTGTTCCCGCGCATCTTCCTATCCGTGTGCCAATGCATGTACCAATGAGTGTGCCAGTGTCCATGCCTGCGCGTGCGTGTATACCGCGCTTATTCTTATGGTTATATAGTTATTATGACGGTAATTGTTAAGCTACTGTTTTACATGCGTGCATTTTGTTGTTATGTATTGAGCACCTGTTACAAATTCAACATCTTTAAAAAGAAAAGCAGCCTCATGTACGCAGGTGTACGCATGTGCATGCGTGTACGTGTCTATATGCGCACATGCTCGCCATTTAAAAAAGCTTTCAATTTCTTTTTAATTTTTTTAAATCTTTGTATTTGCCTAATATGTTGTAAACAGTCCATAGAGAGGAGAAAAATCGCAAAGTTTAAAATTTACCCATGATTAAAGTGTGTATTTAAAATTGAGAACCCAGCTGAGGGGTCGGAGTCCAGGGGAAGAAGGCGGCACGTGTGCGCACATATGTATATGTGTGCTTTTATTTTACTTATTTACTTGTTTATATATTTTTTTATTTTTCGCCTAATTTTTTAAGTGCACAGCGGGTGTAGACTTGTTCGTTACCTTCCCATGTCACTGTTGTGCTACCTCCTGTCTGCATTCTGCGCACTATTGCCCTTTTACGTGCCCCTCCGAATTTGGTAACACCTGCCTTACCCGGCGTAGTGCTTTTAGCGGCGTGCCTTGCTCTGTGCAGCTTTGCTTTTTAAAGAAAATGATAAGGCAGATGGATACCGATCCGACCAGATGAGCAACACAATACAGTACACAGAAAAATGAGGTGAAGGGATTGGCCATATGTGCACATGTGACAACACATATGTGTCATTACTTGTTCTGTTTGTTTGCTTAATCGGGCACGGTCCCCCCTCGACAAGAATGGACTAGTGAAGAAGGGACCCGGAAGATACATGCTATCGTGATGGGTAGTATGCCGCACACCCATATTCGGCTTATCAATAAAAAAGGCTTTTACAAAATGCGCACTTTTTTGTATCCCCCTTTTGAGTGAAACAATGAAGGAGATACATCATCTGTGTAGAAACGGACGGGAAAGCATCCATGTTTTTTATACCTAGCTGAGGAGACCAGAACATATGGTGATAATTTTACCCTACACACACACACCCGCGTTATTTACAGTTGTTATTTTTACTAAGCGAAAATTAAAAAGTGGGAGCTGGAGTTCGCACAGGAGAGGAAAATCCCGTGATGCGACCTCACGTCAGGTTCGAAAACTTATATGTGAAAGTTGTGCGAGGTTGTTCCGAAGTTGTGCCGAAGTTGTGTTGAAGTTGTGCCGAAGCTGTCTGCATGTTATATAATTTCATTGTGACGTCGTACGATGTTTTTTTTCTTTCCACTGTTCCCCCTTTTGTGCTCATTTTTCACTCATCCTTCGTCGACGTCGCCCCATTTTAGTCATAAGACACAGGTCAACATTTTTAGGGGTCCCTTTGTGTAGGCATTCCAGCAGTGCCTCTATCTTTGCATTTATACATATAGACAAGTGCCTAATTAAAACAGTTACGAAACTTACCCAATTTTGTGTCTCCCCTCCCCCCGTTTAAGTCAAAGTTAAGGAGCAATTCACGCCCCTGGAGCAGCGGAAATGGGAAAAAATGAAAACGCTATCCTAGAAAGGCAAGTTCAGCACATGTGCAGCGCGGAGTTCTTGACGCTGTTCTGTCTAGGCACGATCCTATTTTGTCATTTCATTCTTTTAAAAGCTATAAATGGAATAATATTACAATGCAGTTATCTAAGCCAGTGCGCAAAATGGTGTAAAGCTCATGAGAAGGGAAGAAACATCCCCTTTTTAAATGTTTGCATTATACGCTTGTGTTGTATGTAAAGTTCATCCGTGGGAGGACCTCCCAAAATATGTAAGTGCTAGCCATCCCTCGTCCTTCCCTCCGTTGTCATTTCGTTTCGCGTAATTCCTTCAGCACAGAATGTCAAAAGGTGGTCAGTCCTAGATCACTTGCAAATTTTGAAAAAAAAAAAAAAAAAAAGCAAAATGGGGAGGAAGATAAGTGCCTAAAAATGTTAGGGGGGTTGTCATTTGGGAGCAGACGCTGCAGAGCAATTTTGCCCCTACGTCATGTTCCATATGTAACTTCTCATTTCGGAGGGAAAATTACTCCTACGTAATTTGCGTCATTTCGGTGATTTTTGTCTCGCTTATTTTTTACATTTTCAATTTTGAATTTCTTCATTTTCGTTCCGACATTTTTGGAGAATACATGCCGCACATGTTTAAGGAAAGGTTAATTCCCCCGTGGGGGACTTATTTTTAAAAAAACAAAAAGAATCAATCTTGTATGGGTAATTTCCCCTCTTTTTTTTCCTTTTTGCGACTGTTTACTTCTGTGACGGAAGCTCAGTTGACGATACATTTTAAGAAGTACCTAAATGAGAAGCACATCGGCGAGGAGTGCTCCTTTTAGCGACTCCTCCCATAGGAGCGGTGAAACTCTACCACCAAAAAGGGGAAATGTGTGAAATGATGCATGAAAAAGTACGAGAAAAAGTACGAGAAAAAGTACGGGAAAAAATATGCGAAAAAATATGCAAAAACATAAGCGAAGGGAAAACCTGGTAGTAAAGAAGCCAAGGGATAAGGAAAAACACGACTTTCATGTGGCTGCCTAATTCGCATCATGCGATTCTCCTCCAATCGAAATTTTGGAAAAAAAAAAAAAAAGGGAAACTAAACCATGCATCATATAGCAAAATCTCTCTGCTTCTTCTTCATCTTGAAAAGTATAGAAAAGGCTACGAGTTTTTTTATCAACAAGGTACACATTTTTCATCTCACTGCATTTAGAAATGGTGACAACTTGGCACACATCCGTAAGAAATGTCCTAACAGCATGGGCGTGTCTGTGAGAAGAAAGGGTGCCTGCTTGAAGGGCCACGATGAGGTGGAAGCGGACGAAGCGAACGAAGCGGAAGAAACGGAAGAAGCGGAAGAAGCGGACGAAGCAGACGAGCAGAACCAACTGGGCGAGGTGGAAGAGACAGACACCAGCGACGGCAGGTTCGCACCCCACAGTGCGAAGAAAGTCACCACTGGGGGGAAGAAAGTCAAGGCCGGGAAAATAAAAAAAAGGAAAAGGAAAAAAAAAACGACGAATGCGGCCAAGTGTAGAACGTGCAATAAGATATTAAAGCCAAGTAGGAATAATGACACCGTATATAAACACACATGCACGCAACTATATTTGCACGCGAGGACGTATTACCAAGCCGAGCAAATTCCCGTTGCTCATTGCTCATTGTTTCTTCCTCCCTTTCCCATTCATCCCATCCCCAGGGGTAAAGTTTTGCGCCCATTGCGGCACGAACGTATCGGTGGAGAGAATTAAATTGAAAAAGTACATAGAGGATATCTACTTGCCTCTCAGGTGAGCATCTAGACTGTGTATAAGAATGTGCTGGGAAAGAGTCTCCATGCGAGGCGACTAGGTGTGAATTGCTAACCTTTTGGTTTCTCCCATTTATTTGCAGGAAGGAGGAAGTAAGTGACAACACGTATCGCGTGGAGAAGGGATTCTGGAACGACATACTGCCGGTAAAGACATGTTCGACGTGGAAAACGGATGTTGCATTTGTTCACATTTTTCATTTCACCATTTTGGACAAATTTCCCAATTTTTTTTTTTTTTTGTTTTTGCGAAGAAATTAGGCAAATATGAACTGCACGAATTGGGGCCGAACAACTGGGAGGGCTTTTTGAAGTACGTTTTTGCATCGCAGCTGTCTGCAGGTGTGAATGGAGGGGGAACGTTGGAAGGTGTTTTTGTGGCGTCCTTTCCGATGTGCTCCGCACCGTTGCCGCTCCTTTACTGATCCTTTACCTTACTTTATCACACTTCTACTCCTTTTTTTTTCCACTTTTATTTGCACCCCCTTTTCAGGTATTTAAAGTCGAAGAATTGCTCACCGAGGACGATGGCCCTGTACCAGTCCACGTACCAGGTGGGGCACAATTACACACATACGGCGACATCATAAAGTGGAAATTTAATTTCGTTGCTCCGTTTGGTTTCCCCTCTTTTTTTTGTGCTTAAATACGTAACTTTAAAAAACGTAGTCCCAATTTAACTCTCCATTTCGCTTAACTCTCCCCCACACCCAAACACACACATACAGCAATCACTGAAATACGCCTTATACCGGGACTATCTAAAGAGCGTACATAATTTTCGTAAAATTAAGAATAGCACAATTCCGAGGAGGAAGATTACCCCACTATCTCCCAAAGAGGTATGTCGAGGGGATGTGATAGCTCCGTAAAAATAACACGAGATGTACCGAAACGAAATGAAAAGAGAAAGACCAGAGATTGAGAGTGTTAGTAGAAGGTCATCCAGGGATGTCCCCTATTGGCCCATTAACTCTGTTTCGCCATGTTTCATTACATTTTGCTTCTCTTCTTTCCATTTCATTTCCTCCCCCTCCGCAGATAGAACTGCTACTGATGAACAGCGGGGACATGCACAGAGCCATCTTCGCCCTCAGTATAGGTACTGCCGCGTAAAGCCTCACTACTATGTAAATCACTCGTGCCAACAAAAAATTCGGCATTTTTCTTTAAACTGCCATATGGTTTCCCAAAATTTACAAAGGCATAGGGTTGCGTCCGTCGGAGGTCCTGCGGATTCTTTGGGAAGACATCAATTTTGAAAAGAAAGAAATTTTCATTAAAGGTCAGAAGACCAAGTATAGCAACACGGCCATACCCATGACGAATTTTGCCTACAACGAATTGGTGAAATGGTACAACTACGTCGTTCATTTGTGCGTTCATTTGTGCGTCCAACTGTGCCTCCATTCGTATTATTGGGCACGTGATATGCCTCATTTTTACTTTCTCGAATGAACACTTGATTACTCTACCCGATGCGACAGGTGGGAGATAGAGAAGAAGCCTCTGAAGGGGCTGTGCTTTTATTCGGAGACGATCAAAAATAAGTTTAATTACACCAACACGAAGACTCCACTAAGTAAGTTCTCTTTAAAATGCATCGATTTCACAAAAAAAAAAAAGGAGCAAAGGAGAAAGGGAGAGAAGCAGAAAAGGAGAAAAATGTGCGACTTATCAAAAAAGAAAAGTTATCTTTTTTCGCCTATTTCTCAATACGTACATGATGAACATGTAACGATTGACACTTGCTCATTTGTTGATTCGTCACTGGGTCACACTTCGACATTTCCATGCTTCCACTTTTGCAGAAACGTTTAAAACAGCGCTGAAGGGAGCAGCCAAACGGTATGGAAATAACGCGCCGCGGATATAACAGAATGCGATGCGCTTTGTCACTGTGTGTATGTGCACTCAACGAGAGAACTGTGTGTTGAATTTGCTCCTCAGGGCTGGACTCGAAATCAGCGAAGACGGAAAAAAGAGAAGAATATTTCCCTACCTGTTAAGGTTAAAAAAACTTTTTCTTTTGTTTTGGTCATATTGCGCAAAAATGTCGAAATGTTTAAAATCCATTGACGCAATTTTTTGCCTCCCCTTCTGTAGACACTCCTTTGCAACAATTGCTGCAACGTCAAACCCGCCTGTCCCGCTTCCAGTAGCGCAAGTATGTCATTCCGTTCCCTGCCTTTAAGTGTTCTTCCACTGTACATATATTTGCACTTCACCGAAATGGAATTTTTTTTTTTTTTTTTTGGCACATCTCCATATGTGTGCTCAACGGTACTATTTCAAATTGTTTCTTTGCAGGCAATTATGCGACACTCATCTTCAAAAATGTTATTGGACACTTACACAAAGGCAGGAAACAACATAATCAGGGACGGCTTGGATAACTTCAAAATATAGGGGAGTGTTTGATGGGGCCTCCTGCGTGCTCAAAAGGCATAATTAAATAGCATCTCGAATTTGTTTCGTTCGACCTGCAAATACACACGAAGAGGTGTGTGCGCATGTATGGCATGAACAAATGAAGCGCCACTTTTTTGTGAACCCGTTCTCTTGCGCACGGCTAAAGGTTGCGCAGAAGATGGGCATATTTGTGCTTTGGGGGGTTTCCCCATGTTTTTTCTGGCTTGTTTTTTATATTTTTTCCTTTTCCATTTGTGTTTGCCCCCCCCTTTTGATTAGTAGTAATTCTTTTTCGCATGCATTTTCTAATGTGCAGCATTTTGTTGGCTTGCCATGCTGTGCGAGATGGACGCAAGTCACACCCTCGTGAGTTAGACCAACGTGCGGTACATTGTGGAATCCTGCGTTTTATTCTTGTTTTTTGTGACCCTTTTTTGTACGCCCCTTACCTGCCCCGCTTGGCCCCTACCGGCACACCAGCTCGGCAAGCCTCCGTTCGAAAGCAACTGCGCGAAAGTTGTTTTCATCCCTTTGTTAAAAATACAACGATTCGTACGCCCTTATGAATCAGAAGTGCATGTTGTATGGATTCATTTTGGCAACTTCTAGCTAGTCATTTTTATCACTATGCAAAGCATTTGAACTTTCCCTTTTAATTGTATCCCTCTCGTCAGGTGTCCTCTGATTTGCCTGATCGTCCTCATCGTCTTTGTCCTTTTCCCCATTTAGATTTTCTTCGATTTGGTGTGAATGCATCGGAGTGGCAATTTTATCATCAGGACTGGGTCCCCCTTGGCTAGGTATTTCGTCTTCCGCCCTTTTGGTATCCGATCCAGTGGGTGTTTCCTCCACACTGAGCACTTCCCGCATTATATCAGCGTCCTCTTTTGCGTCAACTTCCTCCTTTATTTCTGTGTCTAACATTATTTCGATGGCGTCCATTATATCTCTATTCTCTTCTCCTTCGGCACTTCTCTTTACTTCCGCGCTTCCCTTTACTTCCACGTCTTTATTTACTTCCACGTCTTCCTTTACATCCACACCCCCTTGAGGAAGATCTCTACGTGAGCAGTTCATATAATTCTTCGCCTCTGAAATTCCTTCCATTCGGTTACGCTCCAGTTTGCAAATTTTGGAACCCCCCCTTTGTGTGTGCTTACTTAACTCTCTTGGGTGTACCTCCTGACCCACTTGGACACATTGACTGCCCTTTCTCTTATCATCCTGATCTTTTGATATGCTGAAAAATGACGTGTTGAGAACATTCGATGCAATATTAAATATGGAATTCAACTTTTCTGTCTCCATAAGTAAATTATATATGTTACTTTTTGTGTGTTCTTTTAGAAGATTCAAATTATGCCCCTCCTTTTTTTGGAGGCTCATATTATTTACATGTTGGTTTGAATTTTTTTCAAAAATGGTTCGTTCGATGTTAGTTTCGTTTTCATCTGGAGTTGCATGATTTGTGTGTTGCCTCAACTGCGCATTGGTTGTTTGTGCGATTGGTGAGGAGGCTCCGTATGGTGTGTTTCTACGCGGTGAAGCGGCATCTGTATGGACAGGCGCAATCGAGTTAGGAGTTGCGTATTCCTCCCCTTGGCAGGGTTCACGCTGAACACTCCGTTCGTTGTCAAGACTGTTGCAACTTTCGATTCCTGCCTCCTCCTCACGTATAACCGGGGCATAAGTAAAGTGAGGTGACCTTTTTTTGTCAAAGTTTTGTGTAAGTTCTGTTTTCACATCATTCACAATGTCTCTTATGTGATTTTCTAATTTCTCATTCTCTTCATCTAATATCCTATTTTTGTTTTTTAGTAACTCCATATGGTCAGAGATAGTTATCAAGGAATTCTGCAAATCCATGATCCTCCAAATTAGTTCGTTGTTGGAAATCTTTTCCAACTTGTCATCGTTTAGGGGATTCATTTTAGGGGGAAAAAGAAAGGGCGTTCTTTTTTTTTATGTCGTTAGGAAAAGGTTCTTTCCAAATTGGAGAATTTCTGGATCATATACCTGGGAAGTGTACTTCTTTGCACATGTAATCCGGAGCGATGTCGTACGTTACTGCAAACCTGTGTTGGTGCCCCTACGCATGCGTCAGGGGTGGGCCCAGAATTTTTTCCACTATAACAAGTGTGAATTAGTTTTGGAAACCGCCATTCTGCAGGAGAAAAAAACAAGAAAAAAACAGGAAAAAAAAAAAAAAAAAAAATAATTTTTTACAAGTGTTAAGATACACTACTTTCACCACCTGGGGGGGTCTCGTGGGTCAGTCTGCACGATTTGCCCTTACCCGCATATACATGCCAAAATGGGAAGTGACAATTACATGGCTGAATGTAAAAGAAGTTGCCCGAGTAATCGACAAACTGGCCGTATGAATTGCAAACCGTATGCGGTCTGCGCGAAGGGACCAACGAGGGGATATGCTTTTCGAAATAAGTGAACAAAGTGGAAAAATTGGAAAGCAGAAAGAGCGGGGAGATTCAGAATTAATGCGTGAAGGGTGAGGCGCCAAGGGGTTCCGAAAGGATATACGTATATATATACGCATATGTACGTGTATTTATACGTATTTATATACGTATATGTATACTACATGTACGTGCTAAGCCCCTCCTTTTACGTGGCCTCAAAAATGTGAAGGGCAAAGTAGGCAGCCTCGGAAGTGGGCCCACCAAGTGTACGTGGATGTGTCCTTTTTTTTTTTTTTTTTTTTTTTGCACCAGATGAGAGTTCCATGCGGGCTACTAAGAAGGACACAACCCGCAGACTCAACCGCAGCGCGCACAATGGATAAAGGGACGAAGGGCAAACTCCTCTTTGCACATTTGAACAAAAGGCCATATATCAGCAAGGCAGAGGAAATTACCAAGTCCAGAAGCTGCACCGTCAAAAAGAACAAACTCAAAAATATATACGTGGATTTTTCCCTGAATAAATATATCAACATAAATAGCCTTAATGTAACCAAATTTATTAAGACGCCAATACATTACCAGACATTTAGAGAGCTTGTCGACACGATAAAAAGCGTCAGCAATGTGAGGTTGCAAAACATTCACTTGGTGAGAAAAATTGTGAATTCTATGGGGGTTTACGTAACGAATTATTTAAACAACGTGAGTCAATTGAGCGATTTGAGTAGTTTAAACCCGTCGAATGGTGGAGTGAACTGGGAAGACAACTTTTACGACATGGATAATTGTGACGAGGACGAAAATGCGATCACTCCAAATAGCATCATTACAGTTCTGATTAGTCTATACAAGCTAAAGTATCGAAACGAGAAATTTTTGCAATTGCTGGAAAGGCTTATATTTGTGAAGAAAGACAAGTTTAAATTTTCCCAGCTGAATTTAACCCTCTACATATATTCCTATTTCAACAGAGTAAATAAAACCTTCATAAATTGCCTACTAATGACTATTTTGGACAATGAAAAGATGCTAAATGGGGATAACATTTTGAGCATTTTCACGTCCTTATTTTATCTGAACTGTAAGAATGAGAAGACGGTAGATCGTTTGGCAAATTATATCATTTCCAACAATCTACAGTTCGATATCAATGTTATCATTTTTCTTTTGAACAATTTGAGGAAGCTGAACTGTTCAAGTATTTCTCTTATGGAGTATTTCCACGATCAGATTGTTCTCAAATTGGGGTTCCTTCCTCCTGGAGGGGCAGAAAGGGGGAAGAAGTTTGTGGACCCATTCTTTTTAAAGAGAAAGATTCAGCACATTATTGATGAGGAGAATCGCCAACAGAGGGGTTACTCACCTGGTGCATGCCTCTGGGGTGACGCACAAGAGGGGAACCCTGACCATATGCCACATGTGAAGGATGAAAAAAGGGGAGAAGTCACATCGAGTTACGATCCCCCCATGGGTGGCATAGACCTAAGTTACAATCTGTGTGAAGAAGACATAAACAGCACGTACGGATCAGTACACAATAAATACATTGTGGAAAATAATCACGTAGATTATATTTACGAGTATTATAATGAGAAAGATCTGGAAGAGGGAAGTAAGAGCAAACTGGACATCCTCATGGAGGTACTCATATACAACAAACACTTCAAGCAAGACTTGCTAACCGTTTTGTATGAATATCTTCTGAACAACTTAAAAATTTTTATGAGTCAAAATGATAGTGACATGTGTCGCATCTTATCCAACATGTATTATTTTCAAATAGATAACTTCCCGAATGTTCTTCTTCTAAATAAAAAAATTCTTTTAAGTATGTGTCACTATTATGTCCCATTTTATAAACGGACGAAAATAATGATTTTTCTGTACTTAAAATTGCTGCTAGAGAAGCACAACTATTTTGACGTATTTATCGACACCATATTGCAGAAAAAGATACAAACGGATTTGCTAACTTTGGAGGGGAGACAATTCTTAAATCTTCTCAGTGAGTGCAAAAATTATAGTGTAAGCAAGTACCTTTGCGACATTTCTTTGGTTTACTTTGACTTCTTTACGGTGAAGTACTCATCGCATGGGTTAGAACAAGTGGGGGACACATTAGACAGATTGCAAGGGGACCAACACTATGAATCTTCTTCCCCCCAAGTGATCCCCCCCCAGAGGGATGAAAACAAAAAGGGATTCATAACAGTCCAGTTTAACGAAAAAAACAAGCTAAGCTCCTACGACGGGCAATTTTTATTACACCTTTTTTACTTGTACATTCAAATGAAATACTACGAAGGAATATTCCTCTTCCTTAAGAGCTTATTTTCCGGGGTGAGCGATTTCAAGAAATTCGACCCATACGTATACTACAAAATTAATAATCATTCTGCCGATTTTGCCGTGAGGAATCAGGTCCAGGAGGTGCAGAGGCCTGATGTGTACGTCAGGCTGAATGCAATGCAAATAATTCACCTGTACGAGTATTTTAAGAGCGCCTTTGAGTCAAATGAAGATTTTATCACCCAACAGGGTAATATGATAAGTGCGAACCATGAAAAGGCTCTTTATCACCACTTCTACGCATTCAATGGGGATAATTCTGGTGATGGCAGCTTGGGGCATGTTGCCTCCCCCTCGCTAGTTCAAATGAAACAGTGTAAGCACCCTTTGCGTTGTGAAAATAAGACAGAATCCGGTCCAGTCAGCAAATATTTATTCACCGAATGGAAAGTTAACTACATTAGTGGTAATAACCTCACTGCTACTTCGAAGTGGGAATCCAATAGGGCGTTTGGAAATGCCCTCGAAGGGGGATGGAACAATGGGGGGATCCCTTGGGAGAAGAAGAAATACAACTCGAAGTTACCAAAAAATGGAGAATTAAAAAATGAGCATCTCAGCCAAAATGGAAATATCGTCCAAGACGAAACTATCCACTTTGAGAGAAGCACCTTCCACGTAGACAGCCATGTTTATAATGTCCTGAGCAACATCTTCCTGTACACCCCTGTGGACCTATTCGCGTTACACATTCACCACCTTAATTCGAAGAATATCTTTTTTTTGTTGCAGAACATAATTTTTAAGTTGAATTGGCTGAACGTTCAGTACCTTTCCCTTGTAGTTGCAAAGATATTTGCCCGAATGAGTGAAGAAATTTGTCGCGAAACGAAGAAGGATTATTTCGTATATCTCGATTTCTTCCATGATTACTTACTGGGGGAGGAAGGAGCTAGTCAGAAGTTTTCCTATCAGTCGAAGCGGACAGGGGGCACACAAAATGTTAGTTATCTAGATGGGCGGGACAAAAGACTGCTTATAAGTAGGATTCACCAAAATTGCATCACCAAATGCGGAGACCAAGATAAGGTAAAAAAACGCATCGCATATATATTGTGCAAAAATAGAAGCTACGCTAGGTATGTAAATAATGAGATCATCTTTGACGAAAAATTTCTAAGCCTCCTTGTTCAGCTTGTCTTAAGAAAAAAAACAATTTCCCCCCCTTGTTCTTACTACGACATGACGAATGACAGTTTGCTCCTCATATTGAAGTGTCTACGAACGAGGAAGAAAAACCCAAAGTACATGCAGAGCGTGGAAGTAATAACGAACATATTTCTGTTTAGGTATATTCAGTACAAGTACAGCGAGGAGGCGAATGAAGACAATTTGTCCAAAAGGTGTGCATCTGAAAAGGTGCCTTTTTTGGATTCCCAAGTGGTAGATATGCAGGGGGGGGGAAGGGGGTTATGCCTGAATTTGGACTTGCATGTAAATTCTGACGCAAAAATGAACTCCTATTTGGAATGTAATTTGTCCCAACATAGGGACCACGCAGAGGGAACACCCGTCCAGAAGGACAAGCAATGTGGACGTAGAACACATAACACTGCTCTGCAGCGAAAAGGGGAACATCAGCCTTCTGTCAGCTTTACGAGTGCACCGGGGGATGACACCCAAAAGGGCGCTTCCAATTCCCCTAGCTCAACAGACGAGGGCAACTTAAACGAGGAGAATCAAATGACGAATAAAAAGGATACGCCGAGAAAATACATACGAATATATTATACAATTGTGAAGGTTCGATATTTTCACGAAATGTCTATCAATAAACATATATTTCGTGAATTGTGCGTAAACAGAGAATACATCGATAATGCCATCTTTTTGAACTTGCTTTTTTTTATATATAAATACAAGTTTGACGAAATGAGATACATCCTCCTGCTGCAGAAAAAATGTGCCCTGTATAAGGACTTATATTATACGCATTCGAATTGTAGGATAGTGGAATTTCTTTGTAAAAAATTGAAAATCAATTTGGACGATAGCGTAAGGACTATCCCCACGAAGCAGACGTCTTATGATTATGAAAATTTATAGGGCGAAAAAAAAAGAAAACATATTAAGGGAGAGGAAATATCTACATACAGAAAAAAAAAAAACTTTAAACGCGCACAACTCGGCGTCTCTCAAAAAGGGACAAAACTATGTATGAAAAAACAGAAAAAAACGATCTCCCCATTTTTGAAGTCGAAAAGGTGTTTCACCAGTGCAGGTATCCAAACGGATGTCATTCGTGTCAACACTTTTACACATTTTGGAACAGTAGAACGTTTTTTTTTCTTCTTTTTTTTCTTGCAATCCAAGCGTCTTCACTCCTATGGAGAATTTCTCTTTCATTTTTTTGTATGCGACGTTTTGGAGTTACCACTCATGTTGGGCGTGGAAATGAGAGTTCGCTTAATTTGGTTTATCGACAATTTGAAAAGCAGATTTCTTTTTTTTTTTCACTCCCGTTTGTTTTCGTTTGCGCGTTTATCGTGATTGTGCTTTGCCATTTTGCGTTACACGATTGGGTAAGTTTATACTTGCATACAGAATACATAAATGCAAACAGGTATGTTTTTTTTTTCTTCTTTTTTTTTTGGAGGGGGGCGCACGCAAAACGGTCTTATTTTGGTGTACGACAAACGGAATGCCCTTTCAACGTTTCTGCAAGTGAATTTCTATTTTCATTCATAGATTTTCCTCTTCATTTTTTCGTAAATTTAGAAACGTGTAAAAGGCACATATATAGCAGGTAATGGGGTTAGGGTGTTTTCCTACGACTACATTTTTTTCTTCCGTGTGTGTTTTTTTCTTCCCCCTTTTTGTATTTCTCACTTGCATGTGCATGAAAAGAAAAAAAAATTAGAGTGTTCCCTTCCGTTATGATCCATGTATTTGTGCGTAGATTTATTTGCAAGTATACTTTACACGTACGTACACGAATGTACATGCGTCTACCAGCAGCCGCGTGGTCGAATGAAGAAAGAGGCAGGTATGTCAGCACACGAATGACAGCTGTAGATTGACAAATGAGCAGTTGGTGTAGCATACCCCTCACGTTTAGCGAGAATGTCATGTGAAAACGCCGTACCCCCGTGAATATGTAAAAATTCTAAACCTCCGTATATATACGTACATATCTTACACGCGTGCATTTAGTCCAAAGTGTAAAGCGCGAAGCTAGGAACAATCCACAAAACCGCCCCTCCTGTACATTTCTTTCTGCACCCTCAAAATTTTCTTAAGAACATACTTAGTAAAAGAGGTGGTAGAAAAAGCGAAAAAACTGTTTGGAGGGAGCTAAAAATTTCACCTTGTTTTCCTAAGCTTTTTTTTTTTTTCGTCAACGTTATAATATATAGCTGACGCAGGGGAAGAAATCCAAAGTTGAATTTGAAAGCAAGGGTACAGCGCGAAGCAGGGCATAGCCCGCCTACGCACCTTATGTATGCCGCTGTGTGCATCTTTTCTGCCCATTCTGCTAATCTCTTGCCAGCTTCTACGTCCGCACGTCGTATGGAACTGCTCCCTGTGGAACTGTCCCCTATGCAACTAGGCTGCTCTCCGTCAGCATGGTCCCATCGGGCCCCGTGGAATGCCCCTTTTGTTTTTCGCATGTGCAACCCCCCTTCCCCCGTGATAGGCGCAATTTGGACATAGGAGAAGCATAACTCCCCGGAGGAACCCCCATCACAAGAATGGTATAGCTCTGAAAGGCAACCCAGAAGAATCATCCTTCTCCTGCACAAGCTCTCTACCCCTCACTCTTATATTTAAGCAAAAATCCAATTTAGAAGAAATGAACGAAGATGGATCGAACAATTTAATCATAGAAGATATAATCCGAAAACATATTGAAGAGAAAAAGGAACTCGTGGAGAAAATGATAAAATTTAGAGACAGGATACCACTAGTAGAGTATAAAAAAAACGATGACGAAATGTACATATGCTCAAGGTACTATTTTATAGGCGATATTTACATTAAGGTGAAGAAGAAGCAGGACAAGTTTAGGATCACTTTTGTGGGGAGTAAAGAGGGCGACGACGAGGAGAATATGGAGCAGTCGCATCTGGGGAGGTCGCATCCGGAGCTGGAGCAAAGTTCGAAGTTTACTGATGAGAAGAAGAACACACTGCGGGAAAGGCCCAGGAAAGAAGAAGATGCGGACAAGCTACATGCAGAAGTATCCAACGATAAGCTGCGAACGCACACAGACAATGACCAACTAAATGCAGAAGAAGATACAGACGAAGTGAATACAGAACTAGATAACGAAATGGTAAATGATGAGTTAGAAAACGAGCTGCTGAAAACAGAGTTGTATACCCAAATGCTGAATACAGATTTGTGCAGCCAAATATTGAGCACTCAGTTGGACAGCGAAATGTTGGACACAGAGTTGTACAACCAGATGCCGAACACTGAGTTGTACAACAAGATGCCGAACACAGAGTGCGAAAATTGGGTTCTTTCCAAATTCAGGAAAAAGAAATTTATCATTATTTTGAGTGGAACCTCAGGGGGGGGGAAGAGTACCCTTAGTTGCCTATTGGGTGTTTTTCTGAACATTCGACGGATTCTATCGACAGATGTGGTGCGGGAAATTTTAAGAAAATACAAAGTGAAGGATGACAAGTATCTTAAGTTTTCAACGTACGAATCGTGGAAGGTGAACTGCAGCGAAGATGAGGGGGACACTAGTTCTAGCACGAGCCGTGGGGGTAGCAGTATAGGTGTTAATAGCGGTGGGGGGAGTGAAGGTAACGGTGACCCCGAAGCGAGCAAAGCGGAGAGTGAGGAAACGCGGCTAAAAAGGAGGTGCATCGAGAACTACGCGAAGCAGTGTGAATTACTGTTCACTTACATCGATGACCTAATTAACGATCACATAAGGAGTAAGGAATCGATCATCATTGAGGGGGTTCATCTGAACGCAGACATGATGGAGAAGTTAAACAAAAAATATCCAAACAGAATTATCTATTTTTTAGTATACATAAATGATAGGGAAACCAGCATTCGAAGATTTTCAAGCAGATCTGTAGGTTCGAAGACAGAAGAAAATAAGTATATAAAAAATATTAATTACATTAATGACATACAAAAGTATTTATTGGAAAGGACCAAATGTTTGCATGTGCCAATTAATTATATTGAAAATATAGACATATATAATTCGCTAGAGAAGGTCCTTCGGATAATTCATTCATTTGGTTAATTTTTTTTTTTTACGTGCTGGGGCAGAGGGGCGCCGGCGCTTGCCACACAGGTGTGCTAGTTGGCATAGCGATAAAAATAAGAAAAAAAAAAAAAATAAAACAAAAAATAATAAACTATTGGGGCTGCCCCTATTCTTCTCTCCCGCATTTGTACCATTTTCCCTCCTTCCCTGTGTGTCTACGCCCGTGCTAGCGTACTTTCCTGCTTCCCCCACTGCAGCGCTTCCTTCATTGTTTCGTCGCTTCCAGCTCCCTAGCACCGTTGTTTAATTCCCCAATTCGTTAACCCCCTAGTTGATGTTTGGTCCTGCGTTTCAGTATTTCTTGTCCAGTCGCCGGAACAGGAATTATCTACTTATTTAGTTACCAATTTATCTGCTTATTTATTACTTACTATTTATTACTTATTTTTTTTTTTTTTACGTGCACCCGCCCTCACCCGTTGTTTTTTTTCTTCGATTCGTTTACCCCATTTGTGCAATTAGAACAAGGCATCATTTCGTATCACCATTCGTTTTTTGCGACCATTATTGTAATCATTATTATATAATTGATAGTTTTTTTTTCTTTTTTTTTTTTTTTAAATCCCCCAGTAATTTTTTAATGTGTAAAAAAAACTATAAACAAATGGAGCACTAATTAACTTTGTAGATTACCCTTATTGCAATTTTTATCTTTTCAAAATGTAGGAATATGCTATGGCATCGTGGTAAATCTCCCTCTTTCGTTTTTTTGTTGCACGCCAATGGGTATGTTTCTCAGTTCGAAGAGGGCGAAAAGAATGAATGACCGAATGGCCGCCTAAGTTGCACTGAAAAGGCGCCAAGGATTTTCATTTATCTGAGCAAAAGAGGGTTAGGTAATAAACTGATCAACAGAATTGTAAAAAGGAAAAGCGACATACGTGTACTAATTGTGCACCATTTTTTATGAGCTCCTATTTCGTCTGACTTGTGCACATTTAAAAGATGCCCTTTTCGAAGACCCTCCTATGGATGTATTTATCACCCAGGTGGAAATTAGGATAGGCATTATAGCTATGCATTGAGGGGACCCTTTTCTCAGATGGCCTTGTTTTTTTTTCTCTTTTTTTTTGTCTCCACGCGAGAGAATTGATGAGGAGAGTTTATAAGCGTCCGAAATGTTCTCTCTGAAAAATTTGCATATAGCAATATTTGAGCGTAAAAAAAAAAAAAAAAATTATATTTTGGGAGGCATATAATGTGGGGGATATACCTACTGAGGGAGAGTTAGTATTTACTGTAGCTGCTCAAATTTTTCGTTTCTAACTTGAAATGTTTTTACCTCGGTCGCAAGACTCGTTATCCGTTCAGTTGTCATAATGGGTGTAACCTTTCTACTATGGTTAGTAGGATTTAAATATTTACGTGACATTTTATTATATTTTCTTTTCCCCTTAGCTCGACAGCAAAATTGGCACATGAAATGTACAATTTTAAACCCACCTTGAACTTGTGTAATCTAATATTGTGTAGTGCACGATTGAACGAAACTCCGCGTGGTGTTTCGCATATCCGTTTGGGATTCCTCCGTTTTTTCCCCCTTATCATACGTTTTTTTGGCGTATATTATACGTTTTTTTTGGGGCATATTATACGTTTTTTTGGAGCTTATCCTACGTTTTTCTGGCGCTATCATACTTTTTTTCTTTGCCATTTCTCGCTTGTTTATGTTTTTCTAGTTTTCGTCAAGCTTCACTTGGAAGATAGCTTTCTCGTGTAGTCCTTATTTTTTTTTTTTTTTTTTTGAATTATAATATACCCCTCGTAAAGCAGCAAAGCGAATATTCTCCAAAAATTGACGCCTGCGAAATGCATTATTCGTGTAAACATTTTTTTCAGCAGCAAGTATTGCAATTGCGAGGGTGTGGCCATGCTACCGCACTACCGTGTGTACGTGCGTACCCCATTTGAAGGACAAAACGAGTGTTTTTTTTGACCCTGAGAATAGGGGACAATGCCGGGGTGGGGAACAAAAATAAGATTCGTCCTGCTTATTTTTTTTGTATGGCTATTCTGTTTATATCTCATATTCCCCTCGCCAGATTGGTGCATCCATATTGTGTAGGAAAAAAGCACAGAAGGGTTTAACCACACAAGGGTTAGGGATTTGCAGATGCACGAAGAAGCTATACATTGTAGAGGCTTCACATGTGTAGTGAGATTTTGCGCACATTTTCGTGGAAGCTACTCGCACACGAAACAAAGGGATTTCCCCATCCCTACGCCCCCTTGCACATGAAGATATATACCTTTCTTTGCACAAACATTACGTGCGCAGAACCAAAATTGTGACATTACAGAAGCACACACAGTTTGTCCTTGCCTCGAGAGAAGCCAACGGACAGATGCCAACGTATAGATGTCAAAATGATGCCCAAAGAAATGGGAACAAAAAATGTGAGAGAAACAAACTTACTAATAAGCAAAATTGGAAGCACAGAAAAAATTCACACAAAATGGTGGATGATAAATACGTACAAATGTTACTATCCAAATATGTGGAAGCAAAAAATAGGGAAGACAAAAAATGTGAAGCCTGGGAAGAAAAGGGAAAAACAAACAAGTACATTCTACACCTGCAGAAGCTGTACAAAGAGTTCAAGTTGGAGGAATGCTTAAATTACGGATTAGAAAATATGGAAAAATTAGAAGAAAAAGATTATGTAGGAAAAATTGAATTCTTAAAGATAATAGGAAATGTTTATTTTCAATTAGAAAATTATAAGTACAGCTCCCTTACGTATATTTTGATGTCCAAATATTTGAACAAAGTCTCCGATGGGTATAAGGTAGAAATCTGTTACAATGCTGGGGTTTCGTTTATAAGATATTTCTTGCAGAGCAATGACATCAGTTACTACTTGAGTGCCAAAACGTCATTTCATTGTTCGATGCTGTATAATGAAAAAGGCAGTAGATACTTCAATCCAATGATTTATGAAAATACTGTGGGCATACTCAGGCGACATTTCCCCTTAGGCGTGAAGGAACAGACGAAGAAGGTAGACGAGCAGAATAGGCTTTTTTCTAATTCCTCATTTGAGAATATTTTTTTGGACAGCGATACCGATTTGGCATCTTCGTCCGATGCGAAGAGTGAAGCATCGGGGCGAGAAGCGAAGGACTTCCAAGGGGAAGACTCCAAGACGAAGGAGTTCTTTTCCCTTGTGGAATCGAAAGTGTGCACACTTAAAAGGGAAAAGCACAAGGTGGATGGTGGTGCCAAAGGGGGGAAAGGCAAAAACCAGAAGGGTGAAGAGGACGTCTATTTTGACTCGAACAACACAGAGACGTTTCCTATTTATGACGACACTGTTGATATGCGAAATTTCGTCTTAAGGAAAAGTGACGCCTTGGCGAAGCTGCAGGGAGAAGCCGCTTTGCTTGATGAGAAAAAAATGGCAACTATGCCTCAGAAGAAAAACGTCGCTCTGCCTGAGGAGAAAAGGACGCCCACTGGGAGAAGCACCCCCAACATTCAGCTGAAAGAAGATAGACAAAGCAAAAAAGTTCTATCGGACCATAACTTGGTGAACGTATCAAATGAGAGAAGCAACCAGACCAGCAATTATTGCAACAATTTGAAGAACATATTATTTAAAAATCGCGTAAACAGCTCCTTAAAAAATTTTCCCTCCCCAATTGTTAAAAGCAAATCCAGCAGTTTATTAAAAAGCACCTCGGGTAGTATCTTAAAGAGTTCTTCCCACAACATTTTGAAAAAATGGCCTGGCAGCATCATTAGCAGTTCTCCCGTGAATTCCATCTCTCAACCTACGAGGGATATTCCGAGGAGTTCCTCTAGCAATTTTTTTAACAACACCACGAGAGGAAACGCTTTTTTTGGTTTGCCAAAGAGCATGATGAGATGCAACGAAGACAACATAATGAGAAGTATCGTAGGAAACATAGTAAGAAGTAGCGAAGACAACATACTAAGAAGCAGCCAAGGCAACTTTGTGAACAACGCCTCCCCCCAATTTTTGAACAAACATTCGTCCTGCAATTTCCCCCCCAACACGCCCCGCTTCTTACCATGCCATTCTATCCACATCGCTGCGATGAACTCGCCCATCAGTTTTTCGAATAACCAGCGGATCGTCCTGAAGAACAACACCTCTCCAATTTTTGCAAACAGTTTCGTCTGCAAGCGAATGTCGCAACAGAAGAGCATCCTAAAATGTATGCGAAGGAGTACAGATGAAAGGATCGATCAGGAAAGTCCCAAGACGTTATCTAATTCGAACGAGTGTAGAGGTGTTAACCTTATGCCACCAAATGAAAATGATTTATTGCAACATAAAAGGAGAAAGATTAATGAGGAGAATCCTCTTTCTGGTTCTTGTGAAAATGGTGTTGGAGTCGGCAGCGATATTTTTCTCCGGGCGAAGGATAATAAAATGTGCACTTTTGATTACTGCAATGTTGAAGAGAGGGAAGGCATAAGTGACAACGTCGGATGTGGTGCAAAGGGGGGTGTACTGCTGGACAAAGCGAAGCCTGGCAACATAAGGGAGGAAGCGCAGAAGGGGAAGTTGCATAGGGGTAGGACGAGAGGGGTTAAAGCGGTGAAGGACGCAATGGAAAAAGGAGAAGTGGAAGAGGGGCAGATCCAAGGTGTCACGGTCACACGGGAGAAGCCGAGAAGGGAGAATATCAAAGGGGGCAAGACCAAAAGGGATAAGGCCAAAAGCGTCAACCAAAAAAGGGATAAAGACAAAAAAACCAAAGCACGGAAGGCCAAAGAACGGAGAGCCAAAGCAAGAAGACTCAGTGCCCTCTTCGATAAACTCTTTTCAAATGAATACCTCAATGGATCCGTTCTTAACAAGGTAAAGAGTGCATGCAAAGAGTACCAGTCCCGTTTGATAAGGGAATACTATCACATTTACCACTTGAAAAACAAGAAAAAAAAAGTGAAACAAATTATAAAAAGAAAAAGAATTGCTGATTTGTTTCATGATTTATATGAAATATGTAAAAAAAACAAGCACGATTTTTTGATGAAATTTGTTGATCAAGACACGCGTAGTAAGGGGGCGTCCAACGCACGTGCATCTCGACAGGGAGGAGTGAGGAAGCGAATGCTCACGAATGATAAGGGGACTCCCACTCGGGAAGAGACAGAATGCTGCACGAGGGGAATTCGCCCCCATGAGGATAACTCAAATTTGAAGATGTTGGATAAAGGGAAAGTAAGTAGAGAAGGCTCCAGGAAAGGCAGCCTTCTCATTCCTGTTGCAGGAGGAAGAGGCCACTCGGTGAAGCAGCAGGAAAGGGGCGACGCGCCTCATAGCCTACGTAATTACGAAGAAGAGACGGTGCACATTTTAGAAATGAATTGTGTGGAGAAAGGGGGACACAAAAAGGAGCTCCAATATGAGCAAAGAAATCAAGTGGAGAGACAAAACAGAAACCCCTTCCACTTGTCCCGCTTTGTCAATCTGTACAGTCAGATTAGGAGTATCCACAACCATGCGCGCGGAGGGAAGTATCAAAAGGAAAAAAAGGAGATCGAAGAAGTGATCATCCTAAGTATTAAGAAAATAAATAAAAAAAGAATCAGAGATAAGGTAAAAAAATTAAGTTCGTACAACAATTCTATCCTGTACAACATTGGCGACAAGTTCATTGATGACATGGACGAATTATTTCTCATAAAAAATTATGCAAAAATTTTAAAAAGCATCAAACGAAATGACAGCATAAGGCATATTTATTATTTATATGAAAATATGTATGCCATAGATAAATTCGATCATATTAATGGGAGTAATTTTTTTAATATTTCTCATTTTATTATCGACATTTTGTTGTTGGAAGAGATAAAACAGAAGGATTATTTGAAGAAGAAAATTCACAAAATGAAGTACTCTTATCAGAATTATTATGCCATTTATGACGACACTCATAGCGGGGCCCTTTTTAAGGACCTTCTCAGGCACCTTTTTAATCCCCGCATTAAGGACACCGTCAAGGGTGACCCTAAAACATTGTCAAGACATATTATGCGTACAAAGTACCCACAACAGAGCCTTAATTCTTTGCCTCTCCTTTCTAAAGATAAAAGAAAAGAGGCTGACTTGAAAGAACAGAATGATGCCTACATTAACGTCAAATTCAGTTCGACCACCACTGTTAATAACAGCGATACCAATTCGTACACAAATCAGAAGAAGGAGGAACTCCTGGTGGACAGAATCAATGAGATGTTGCCTGGCGAACGACACAGAAGTGCGCAAGCAAGTGGCGCCGGGACGAACTCGTGTTTGTCTTTAAAGAACAATGTCAGCGGCGTGGTCAATGAGAGTGGCGCGAATGAAGACGACGTGAAGGAGGGCCACGTGAAGAGTGGCACAAGCAACACGAGTGATACGACAGATAGGAATAAACCAATTTTTCTTGACTTCTTGAGCATGTCGAGCCGTAGCCAGCATGGCGAATCCAGGGATAGTAGCATAAGCTACATGACGCACACATACAAGTGCGAAATGGAAAAGATGTACCTCGAAATGGGTAAGGAAGACAGGGAAATTTTGGACGTGGAAAAGTTTTACGAACACATGAATGTGTCAAGTGCGAGTAATGACGAAGGTAGGGCCAAGGTGGAAGAGGTTGTCCTGATGCTCTTTTATTACTACTGTGATGGGGGGGGTGGCGGCGACTCTAGCGTCAGTAGCGATCTCAGGGACAGTGGTGAGCGCGCTGCTGAGTGCACCATAAGAAGGGCCCTGTTTAAAATATTTTTCTTCTTCACAAGCAACGGCATAATTAATAAAAAGAATTTGCACGAGTACGTCACTTTTTTGCGGCTTTACCATTTTTACCTGGCAAGTATTAAGTGCGACCCCTTCATCTACTTCTATCACGACATTGAAAAGGACTCCGAGAAAATAGTGCACTCCATGAATGGGAAAAATGTAATGCACCAAGATTTTACCACCCACTTCATGTTGGATAATTATCTAAATGTGATTCACTGCCATTTGTACATGCTGAAATTGTTGCACAAGTCTTATCTTAATAAGTTGAAAAGGAAGCACTCATACGATAAAGTAAATTTAGAATCTATGATTAATGACACTTTTAGTATATTAAATTGCCTCCTAATTAAGTACAGTTATGATGAAGAGGCTAGGGTGGTGAGACGGCGCGTGGTGTTTTTATTTCTGCACTTCCTTTATCTGAACTCGAAATATTATTTTAGAAACGTAACTTTTTTTTTGCATAATTATGACATAAACTATTTGGTTAAAAGCGAAACTGGCAATTTTTGTAAAGTAAATGCGGATCTGGAGCGGATGCACTCGATTTATGAGAAGCCGAGGAGGAGTGGACCAAAAGTGAACGGAGACAGGACGGGCGAAGCACATCAAGGGCACAAAGAAATGGGTGAAGAGAATGTCATGGAAGAAGAACTTCTCAGGAAACGACCATACAAACATGAGGAGCAGAAGGGACACCGACACAGTGGTCAAGCGAATGAAAAACAGGGAGATATTCCTGGGGAGGAAGAGAAACAAAGTAGTAGTGAAGAGGATGGCATATTGGATAATCAGGGAGATGCTGAGGAAGAGGAACCACAAGAAAGAGGTCGAACATGCAAAGAGTCATTTGGAGAAAACAGAGAAAACCAAGGCAATAAGAAGGATCCATTTGTGAATGAGAAGGAATGGCGAAACGAGTTAGTATCGAAAAAAGGACAACCCAGAAAAAGAAAAAGTACAACCCACAATTCATCCATGAGCAATATGAAGAAATTTAAAAATGTATTTACAAAGTTGGATCAAAATATTGACATAGCCTTTTCTTCATTTTTGAAATGCTACCATAAGTGCTTTTTTATACTAAACTTGCAATTACACGAAAATGACATGTTCAGAAGAATTGTGTGGAAGATCGCCCAGCGGATTGTGGGATACTGTAATGATCTTTACACCATTTTAAAAATAAAGAAAATACCAATAAGCAGCAGTTTCGATTACGTGTTTGACGAAATTAACCACAGTTTGTACAGTAAGAACATCTTTTTGAAGCCTTCCTTTTTTAAGGTCCTAAGAGAAGATAACTACGTTAGGAGGATTTACAGTGTGTATAAAAATTATATAGGAAAGGGATGGCGAAGACAAGTAGCTTGTCATGGCATTAGGGACGTAGACCAGAATAACGTACTGAACATACTAATCAACTTTGCCAAGTTAAACAGAGGAGGGTACCAGAGGGAAAAGATGAATAAAGAAAAAAAACAATTCATCTTCCTGGTACACACGTACAGGTATATAAAGAAATGCATTTGCAAAGAACTGAAACAAAATAGCATCCTAAGTTTGTACAAAAAGGCGAAAGATCGGGATGAAAATTTCAGCCAAAGCATTGATTATCTCCATTCCCTGTTTGACACAAGACTTTGCATGTTGTCTCTTGATTTCGAGCTGCAAAATATTATTATCGAATTTTTAAATCACTGCATGGAGTTTATCAAACAATATGACAAGGAACAGGACCCTCGCTTTGTCATAATCAACAAAATGATGAATGTGTACAGCTGCGTTTTCTCTCTTTTTTATTTGCGTCTGAATTGCTTTTCGGAATGTCACACAAATAAATTGTCCAAAATTTTGGCGATTCAGAAGAATATTTTTTCTTACGATGATCAGCCCATTTGGCATATGCTGAACGTTTTCAATTTTGTAAATTTCCGATATGGGTGTTCCTACCGATTTTTGAACACCATTTTTACTTCTTTCCATGTGCTCGTTAATATGTTGGTGAAAATTGACGTCCACGTGGAGATGGACAGGAAGCGCATAAGGAGAGGGAGGTGTAAATGGGGCACGCAGATCATCTCAGCGAGAAGCACATATAGGAATGCCACGCGACTCCACAATTATGAACAAGTACAAAAAACCATTGAGCGGGAAAAAAGGAAGAACGTGAGGAACAAAGGAGTGTTACAGTCAGTAGGCGGAGTGCGCTTTGGAAAAGGAATCATTTACAAAATTGTAAAGGAGGTGAAGAAAAAAGTTGCCGTAAGTGGGAAACTCAAAATAAAAAATAGCATTTTGGAAAACATAATTGGGAAGAGGATGAATCGATATTTTGTCAACCCTTTGGGGGGGGAAATTGGCATGAACAAATTGGAACGCCGAATGGGTGAAATGTGTAACGGAAAGGGGACGAAAGGAGTAGGGATCGTGTTGGGCAGTACGTTCAGCAGCTCGTTCGGCGGCACGTTCAGTTGGGAGGAGAAGGGTCACCGCGGGGGGTACTCTTCGGATCCCCTCTCAGCAATTCACGCCGAGTCGCAGGTAGAAACCATCGCCGCCGCCGACAGGTGCGCATCGAGTAAGAGCAAAATCGTTATGAAGGCCATGGGGGGGAAGTTTCAGATGAGCCAATTCAAGCACGGCAGCCCAAAGCAACGCATTTTACAGAGCTATGGAAAATTAAAAAAAATAAAAAAAAAATTGAAGAGAAAAATAAACAATCTGTGCTATTTTAAATACATTTCCGTGATAAACAAGAGTCAGAATAAGATTTACACGACGATCAGTCGAACCTATGCGCATATTATCTTCATACTTATATCAATTTTGCACATCGAAAATTACAACATTTTGCATTTAAAAAAGAACCAAGATTTTTTCATGAACAACGATATATACAACACGTACTATCTATTTTTGCACATCTCGAGCAGCATCATTTTGCTACTTTCGTCCGTGTTGAAAACATACTTGCATTTTAATCCCACTGTGAGGCTAGATAAAAGAGAATTTATTAGGCCAAAGCTAGGTCAGACGAAAGGTATGATTGGTATCGCGAAGCGTGGTAAGAGCGTACCATGTGTCAGGGATGAACATGGTATGCACATCGGAATGGCAAATAAAGAAGGGGATCACCGCCCGAGGCAGCACCATTTATCAGAAGACAGATCAGCCAGCAAAAAGTGTAGAAGTGCTAGTATAGGAAATCACACAAGTGGCCATAACGTTGGGAAGTTCCGCATCGGCCAAAAGGAAAAGGAAAGCACCAGAGGGTACCAAATTTATCTGCAAACTCTGCTGAAGTTCAGCTCCATGAACGTTCTATTAATGTCCAAAAAGAAACTCAATAAGAGGAACAAAATGAAGAAGAACAAGTACATATTTATATTTTGCAATTTAATGGAAAATTTATTACAAAATAGTATGTTCTTTGTGGACCTTTTTAACAACTGCAAAAATAGGAACGTACTAGAAATGAACGACGTATTTTCGAAGCTAACGAAGCTGTGCAAGGAGAATAACATAATGGATGACTTCGCGCAAATTAAGAAGGAACTGATTTATCATACCCTATTTAAGTACATTCTTCCAGAGGAATATATTAACCATTTTAACATGGACAAAAATGAACTGTACAACACGAACAAGTGTTCCTTGAATTTATTTTATTTCTCTTTGAACATTTTGCTAACGAATTTTAACACGGACATTTCGATCCATTTAGAAAGGAGTCTACTCAACATTCACCATTTTAATCACGACAATTTGTATTATGAATTCATTTTAAATAATGTCAAGAGGACGATTCGTTACATTAGAGAGAGTTCCAAATCGTCTTTTAACTGTATCGTTGCCTGTGTGCTGTACTACTTGTCCAGGTGGAAGAAGGGAGGCGGGAAAATACTAAAGGGAAAAAACAGTGAGGAGAAAAATATCCTCTTCAGGAGAAACATCTCCAATCAGAGGTTTTCCTCTTCCTACAGCATGGAAGAGGTAAAGGGAGGCCTCTTTTTTAACTTGTTCTCCAAGGAAGAATGCACAAATGATACTGTGCTGAGGGGAAGTGTTACTAATAACTGGAAGGACAAGGGCGATAGCCACCCCAAGTATTGTATTCACCCGGGTGAGGATTCCTATGGCATTTTTCAGACACATGAAAGGATACCCCCCAGGAATGATAAACCTGTTCGAAAACTAGTTGGAAAACATCTTGACAGACATATTAGCAAACATGTTGGAAAACCTCTTGAGAAACTTCTTGAAGGACATCTTGAAAAACAGATCACCCACTTGAAGGCGCACCGAAGGAACGAAAGAAAAATTCTCAGCAAACTTGTATACGACATCATAAGCCCCTATCTAGACATAAAACACATTAATGTGTATAACAAAATCTACCGAAACCACCACGGCATTAATAGCCTTATTAACATTTGCTTCTCCTTCTTGTTTAACAGTTTCCTATTTTTGAAGCCTGTCTATCCCTTCGACATATTTTCAAAGGAGAAGAGTGAAAACGAATCATGCGGAAAGAAAATAAGAACAACAAATTACACGCTTGACATATTTAGCATGAAAATGAGTGACATAAAGGCGGTGGAATTGTTCCTCTCGCTGTACATTCACAAGTACATGCAGAGCATATGCCTAGATGTGAAGAAGTTGGTTGATTATAACACCTATATGAACCAGTTTTTTTGGGTATCCAACGGGAGGAGTGTCAGTGTCGCTTTACCCAGAAGTGACTACGCGTATTTGAACTACGCCGCGCGCAATGTGTACTACACGTTTAACGACTACAACGTTCTGCAGTTTTTGATAAATTTTAAGAGGTCCAAAAGCGAGGGCAAGGTAAGCTTCGCGAAAAGGGCAACGTCAGTTGGGCGCGCCCCCATTGGCACATATCTGCCCAGTCAGCTTTTTGTTTTACCTGATCGGCTTGTCGTATATGCCGATGGACAGGACAACTCTTTTTATCGATTTTCTCTTTACCGATTTTCTCTATATCGCCTCTCTTTTTACCCCTTCTCTTTTTACCGCTTTTCGTTTCTGCCTCCCCCCTTCAGGAGTTCATGATGTCCTTCGTGAAAGTGTTCGAACGGATGATCTCCCTGGACGATGAGATAAGCGCATATTACACGGACCCCCTGACGTATAACGTCTACTTGGATTATCTGAACGACCTGTTCCTGAATGACGACTACTACTATGTCTGCTTTTATGAGTACATAAAGAATGTGTACCTGGAGTACTACGAGGGGGAGTTCGAAATTGAGAACTTGGATTGTTACATAAAAGAGATTAATGAGATAAACCCGTACAAGATAAAAAAAGAAATGAAGAGAAAGTTTGATGAATACGTGGAGAAAAATTATCTACTTTTGACCGTAAGGAGGAGCAGGAGAAGTAGAAGCGGAATAAGAGGAAAAAGAAGAAAAATTACGTCCTGCGATAATCAGACAGAGCAAGCTGGTAAAGGCATAGGAGAGATGAAGAAATTAATCGGCACAGGTGAGGAAAAAATCAGAATTGTTCTGAACAATAACCCGTACCACTTCAAAAACGTGTACAGGGCGTACAGAAACCGGCTATTCAGCCTTCTAAACAAAAAAAACATTAACTACCTGGAACTAATAAAAGTGCTAAATAAAAAGCAGTACCATCATTTTAGCAACATGTTCTATTCCTCGTTCATTCACATTCTGAGCGAAGTAAAGTATGATTACAATAAACAATACAATTTTAATATATCAAAAATTATGGACAAATTAAACATTGGATTGAAGGCCTCCTTCTATAACAACAAAAATGTACTTCTGTACTACTACACATTTCAGCAATATTTTCATTTGTACAAATTTTTAGAAGATAAATACTTTTCTGAATTTCTCCTCCCAGAATATATATTATTAAATATTACCTCCAAATCTGTTAATAATGTCTTGTACAATACAAAATTGTACCGAATTTATTCCTTTTTGAAATTTTTGTACCTCCGAAATGTGCTGAAACATACGGACATTTTGTTGAATTTTTTGCTTTACGTTTATTATAAATATTTCCTTTATCATTATAGAGGGAAAGATGAATTTTCTCATCATTTTATTGATTTATTCTTGAGCATTCATGAGGAATCATATAATAACAGCTTGCTCGTTACGGAGCTTAAGGCTACTGACAGGTGTTTGGAGAACAGCCTACTAAACAGAGGCAGCCTTCTCTCCAAATATCCACTGCTAGGGGAAATCCCCGTTTCCGCCGCAGTCCAAGGGGGATCACCTGGAGAGGGGATAGGCACCGAAGCGGAAGAACGTGACGGGACAAATGACGAAATAATTGCACCAGACGGAAAGTACAACGATGAGAATCACACACTTAAGGGGACTAGCCAAACACAGAGCGCATACCAAGAGATTAATAACTACCACCTGGTGTTGTCAAATTCGCAAAACAGATTTATACATCTTTTATTTTTTAAAATATTAACCAATTGTGTCAAGTCCAAAATTAACATCCTAAATGCGAAGAATCTCTTCAACAATCTGAACTTTTTCATTTCTTCCTACGTTAAGTACTCTCTCTTTTACACATTTGAAGAAAGAAATAAAGCCTTCCTGGATTCCCTAAGACATAAGTATTCCTTTTATAATTTCCACGCGGTGAAGAAAAATTTGAAATTGTGTGTTTACTTAAAAAATGTCTACCTGAAGCGGGACCTTTTTAACAGCGACATCTTGTCCTTCCTCAACATAGAGTGTACCGTGAAGAGGCCTCATTCTAGCGGGGAGCTGTCCAAAAAAACAAAAAAAGAAAGATATGCCAACTTTGGTGCACCCCAATCGATGAACAAACAATTCGGTACCTCCCAAATTTTGGAGCATGTCCGTGAAGGGGAACAACACTCGCCAGAGTCGCTACTGAGGTGTGGCGGCTTGCCGTGCCGGAACGACGAAACTTCCAATAGAAAAAGAACAATCGGTGAAAAAGAGAAGCATTTACACGGTGTTAAAGGGAGAAGTAAAAACGAAATGAATAAGAAGAAGAAGTTACTCTCCGGGGAGGCACGCTCAATGCGGGGAGATGTAGAAGCTAATCGGGAGGAACCCCCCAGGGGCAATCATGTAGCGGGAATTTTGAAAAACGGGGAAAACCAAATTGTTGGTGCGAAAACCATAAGGGTAAAAAGGGAGGTCGAGGAAAACTACGCAAATGTGGAAAGAACCAACCAGGTAGCTCCCTTCCAAAGTGAAAAAAAGAAAAAGAAACAGGAGGACCAAAAGAGCAATCCCCGTGAAGGGCAAGGCCCCCATGACCAAATCTTCCCCTTGAACAGCTTGAAAGACGCGAAAAAGGGATCCCACACGAGGGAAGACATCCATGGGAACCAAATTAAAGTAAAAAAAGAAGAACTGAGCGATGGAAATGATACCAAGGTGTCCATAAATTCGCTAACCAAAGCAGATGTGTTGCGAAAAGAGTTTTTTAAAAAAAGAAATAGCAAAAAGATTTCAAAAAAGTACTACATCAATATCTTAAAGTTTTACTTAGCAAATAGGGCGCAAGGGTATTCTCTAAATTATGCCGAATGCCAGAAGCTGGAGGACAAATCGATTTACTTGGTATCATTATTTTTAGGAAAAATTTTTCAATTCCTTTTTAATTCACTATTATGGCAAAGCTGCCGTCAGAGCGGTGAAGATAAAAATGACAATAAAAGAGAACGCGACATGGTGGCCGACATGATGGATGCGTCCGAATGGCCCGCCAGCTCCTATACATATGAGCGTCTTCTTCTGTACTTTATGCTAATTACCATGTGTCATTACGCGGATAGCCTAATATTTCTGAGCCTTCACTTTTTGGACCTTCACCAAATCGGTTCCAGGCAAAGCTTCACACTACAGGATAACTCCCAGGAAAGCAGTTCTCAGAAGAGCACCTTGCAGAAACCCTACTCCGCGAATCACGAGAACGCGGCTTTGTCCCCCAAGGAAGAACTGAACAGGTATAATCTGACCGGTGAACAAGAAAGGAACAAACCAGGGGAATGGAACCAAGAGGGGAACAGAAATCAAAACGAAACTTACGATAGTCATATGAAGAAGCTAAATTATTGTGAGAAGTTACGAGTTGATAGAACCCCCAGAAAACAGCAATACAGTAGTAACAACAAACAAAATGGCTGTGAAAACCATTTCGAGAAGCAAAATTTGATTTTGAAACCGTCGCTCACCAGCACGAGCAGTTATTATATGTGCAGAAATGAGGCAATCTACATTATGAATGGAGATAAGGAAAGCACACAAATGATCATTCCCTTGTATAAATTGTTGGTCACTCGATTGAAAATTTGCTTGTATTATCCACGGTACTTTTTCCTGGCTTCACTTTTTAGTTACAAATATGACACAAGGTTGTCGGATGATTTGCTTGACCATGTGAAGGATCTAAATTTAAGTGAAGGTGTTAAATATTACACGTATGATGTGAATAATAATGACAAAGGTTATGTTTCTACACCTGATGGGGACTGCAATGGAGATGTTGCGAAAAGCTGCAGCATGGTCGAGGAACTGAACACTGGCGAACAGGCTGTTCATTTGGGTGATCACTCCCCGAGTGGCATAAACCGTGATGAGAGTAACGACGAAGGGAATGAAGCAAACGAAGCAAACGAAACAAACGAAACAAACGAAGCAAACCTTTCAAGGAAGATCAGTGACCCCCTCGACGAGGCCGACATGTTAGAACATAACTCCAAGAACAACTCAGGGACATATAATGGACATGCAAAAAATGTCACCCTCGCGTTTAGGAAGAAAAAACAAAATTTCTACATGTGTGTGAATTATTACACCGATTATCACGAAAATGGAAACTCGAATAACTGCAGTTTTCCATCGCTTCACACTTCATCCAACAGCATGGAATATGAGGATGAAAAAATCGATATGGAGCTGGCCGAAGGGGGACGAAATGGAAGAAAACACGTTAAGCAGAACAGCGTTCGAAAGGATGTCACGGGTGAGGTGACGAAACAGGAGCAGCGGGACCATGTGGGAATTACTCCTTCGCATGACACCTATGAAAGAGAGCTGGACGAGAAAGACATGAACCAATTCAATTACGATGTACACAAATTAAAGGTGGTAATAAAAAACATCGAAATTAGGTACGAAGATGTCCTTAACGATATAGTCGAAGGGTTAAATTTCATTGCGGAGAATAAAAACTGCGGAAATTACAACTCACAAGCAGCGTACCATCTATGCATCTACTATTTTATGAGAAAGAATTACACAAAATGTATTCATTACATGAAATTTTTCATCAACAAGGGGAATTTTAAAATTTGGCAAAATGATTCCTTCAATCAGGACTACTACTGCTTGTATTGCAAAAGAGTCCAAAGGAGTGAATTTATCTTCATCAAATATTTCACCATTGTTCTAGAAGTTAGTAAGAACGTTTTGAAGAATGTCCTAAGTAATATTTACGAAGAAATGTTGCGTGAAAATGGGAATGTGGCGGGGGGGAAGCGGTTCACAGGCCGGAATTCTCCCTTCGTAGATGGACCACACCACGCGGATGATGCATTCCGCACGGATGACTTCCCCTGTGCCCATTTGGGAAAATTCCTAGTAGATGAAAAAGTTTTAGATATATTTAAGGAAGGAAAGAAAGAAGAGGCACCGTTTGAGACGCCAGTCAAGAGCGCGGACAAAAGAAAGACGAATGAACACAAAACGGATGAAAGTAAAACGGAAGAAAGCAAAACGGAAGAAAGCAAAACGGATGAAAGCAAAACGGATGAAAGTAAAACGGATGAACCCAAAACGGAAGAAAGCAAAACGGATGAACCCAAAACGGAAGAAAGCAAAACGGATGAACCCAAAACGGAAGAAAGCAAAACGGATGAAAGCAAAACGGATGAAAGCAAAACGGATGAACCCAAAACGGAAGAAAGCAAAACGGATGAACCCAAAACGGAAGAAAGCAAAACGGATGAACCCAAAACGGAAGAAAGCAAAACGGATGAACCCAAAACGGAAGAAAGCAAAACGGATGAACCCAAAACGGAAGAAAGCAAAACGGATGAACCCAAAACGGAAGAAAGCAAAACGGATGAACCCAAAACGGAAGAAAGCAAAACGGATGGACGCAACACAAAAGAGACGGAAGAAATCAATGTAAATGAATGTAAGAGCTCCCTCAATAAGGAAAACGCGAACGATAAGGAGAGGCCCATCCTGAATGACATCAAAAGTGACATAAATGACCCAGATGAGGTGGCAGAAACGGCAGAAGCAGTAAAAGCGGAAGAAGCGGCAAAAGCGGTAGAGGCGGGTAATAGTATGCCCAACGATAAGGAGAACAAATTGGAAGAAATCGAAAATAAGTGGATATATCTAGGGTACGACCATTTGGACCACTTAAACGAAATTTACGACATATTGAAGATCCTGTTCGAAATTTACGTATACATAGGTAAGACAATTAAAAGGTTTAACGACTACAAGGTGTTGGAAGAAGCAACCGTCGTATATGGCAGCAACATTTCAGTAATTAATGTTCTTTTCAAAATTATTACCGAACATATATGTTTCATTTTCGAGGTGCTGTGTTATTTTACTCCACACATTTTGGTTCATCCAATCATTTTGTTATTCGCCAGTAATGCGATGATGACTTCTACCGTCTCAGGGGGAAGTTCTGAGAAGGTGACGGAAACTCCTTCTAGGAGTAGCACCCCGGTTAGCAGAAAATATACGTATTTAAAACGAGCCTCAAATAATGAAGAGTTAATATGCAACCGTTCAAGTGCTTCGCTAGACTTGAGAATATTTAAGCTGTTCAGAGAATTCCTAGCAAATAAATCTGCCACTATGCCAACCAGCCAATCCACAAGGATGCACAGCGTCTTTCAGATGACGTGTAAAAAGGTCATGTATTACCAAAAGAGCGAAAAGGACATAATTAAAAACTTAAGTGCGTACAACAAGAAGGGGAACAAAAAAAAGAGGGAAGGTGTAATCAAATTTGTGGACAACGCCCTTAACAAGGGAAATAAAACAAACTTGTCAGAATTTTTAAATTTATTTAAGAATGAAAAATTGTTAAACTGTACCAACTATTTGAACTGTGAAAATATTAAATTTTTAACGAGAAAATTGAGTTATAACTCAAGCTGTAAGGATATCAATAAACGTACACAGCTAATTCATTTGGATAATAACAGTGTCGAGAAGGCAACCCCTCAGGTAGATAAGGAAAATACCATCTGCACTGCCAATGATATGGGGAATGACCTTCCAGCTGAAGTTAACACGTCCGTGAAGAGTAACAACGATTCTATGGATGAATACAGAAGCAGAGAATGGGTCCTTTATCATATAAAATTAGCCAGCGGTAAGCATATTTTCCTGTACGACGATTATGATATCTTTAATAATATTAAAACAAAAACTGAGGCATTAAATTGCGTTAACTCTATGTTATCCGATAAAAATTCTGCCACCAAAAAGGGAGAAACGTCTAACCAAAAGAAGCGCAAGTCCACTGATTCGACTATGACGGATGTGAGGAACTCCGTACGTGATCGAGACTTAAGGCGGCTGAATAGGGAAAGAAGCAAAGTTGTGTAGCCAAGAGGGGTGGGAAGCGAAAGGAAGATAAGCTTTTTATATGACGTTACCCCTAGAGGTGACCCCAATGCGTGTTTTTTTTTTTTTTTTTTTCAACTCTGTTGTCACCTCAGAACGCACGTTAGCTGGGGCCAAGAGTACTACAACGCCTACAGCTGCGTTTTTGTAAGAATCCCCGCGCACACCAAAGTTCGGTTTCTTTTTTATACATATTCAAGACAAATACCTTTTCGTCAGTTGTAAGGACATTTGTGTAACCATATTTTTTTCATCACAATGAAACTTCCAAATATGACACTATAAAGAGTGCAAGAAATTGGGGATTTTCACACGTTGGTATGTGTGCCCTTACCTTTTCGGAAACAATATGTTAGCCTTTTTGTATGCTTCCCCATTAATTGCTCAAAGGAATGTCTTTTCCTATATGATGATTCAATAAGGATAAACGTATATTTCAGGTTCGCTTTTCATTTGTGGGAAATATCCCTCGTGCGATCTTCGAAGAGGGTAGTACATTTTCCGTTATGGATGGGGTCAAACCTGGCCATGTTGTGAGGTGGGAAGCGTACGAAAAGTGGGTAAATCATTTACCGCCAGCCGTTTCACAAACCACAGTAACAAATCATTTGACCCAATTTTGGGAGCAGCTGTTCTAGTGGCCACTTTCTCAAGTGAACCACTTTGCTAGCGACTCAACTGCTAAATGAGCAATAGAAAAATTTTACTTCTTCTTTTCTAATTTTTCTTGTTAAATATTTTAATTTAAAAAATCGGGTAAATGTAAAGTCGATAAATATGTACACAACGTATATATATATGTTCGCATATACCCATGTATAGTTCTACTTGGGATGGAAAAAAAAATGTAGGTACTTTTAATTCATTTTAATTAGTACGTGTAGGAAGTCGTCATTTCGCAACATTTTTGCAAATTTGTTTTGCTCAAGTGTTCGTGAATTCGTCCCATAGTTATTCTCGCATGAAAAACGCTTCTTCTTTTTTTTTTCCATCTACGATGTGATTAAATACTGTAAGCTTTCAGTGCAGATCATTTACTCAATTTTTTTCCTAAAGGAGCAACCTTCTGTTAATTTGCATTTTCCACCCGTCGGTTGGCACAACATAATGTTGCAGCTATAATGGGGAGAAAAGAAAAAAAAAATCGCCACATGTGTGTAAATTTTAAATAAATTGTTCAAGCGATCGGTGTAGGAATCATTAAATGAAAGTTAACTGGCAAACATATAATGGTAAAGGCAGGATAATGAACAGTTCATGGAAATGGGGAAACCAGTATAAGATAAACACATGCCTGTAGCGCCAAATCGACTTTGCGCAGGGGGTCATGCATACAGCCTGGGTAGCCATTTTTTTTTTTTTCCTCTTTTTTCCTTTTTTTTCCTTTTTTGGCTTACCTTCCACACAAAACAACATTTTGCGCATGGCTAAACAAGGTGGTGATTTGAAGACATCCTGGGCATTTTACATCCATAAAATAAGAATTGGGGCTTGGTATTAATCTTTTTAATTTATGTTTTTTGGCCTCTTCAGCTGGGTCACGATTTAACAGATCCACATTCATTTTGAAATGTAAGAGTTTGATAGGCAGGAATTGTAGCCGGGGAGGGGGGTTCAAATTTGAAGCACTTAATCGGTATAGCGTGTACGTAATATATTTGCGCGTACGTTTTTACATATACATTTATTGGATCAACACCTGTTACGTAAAGATTTATTTACACTGTTGTTTGCATTTGCTATACAATCGTTTGTTAAATAAAAACGCAAAGGCTACTTAAGTATAATGCCGCGTTCTGGTACATAACATGGGTTAACTTAGGGATGATTTGTTCAGAGAAATGACGCAAAATGAAATAATGTTTTTTTTTCTATAAATTTATAGTCAACTTCTTCAATTTTTTTGTTTAAATCATTTTTCTTCTTTTTTTGCTTTTTTTGGGGAATATATAACAATGTTTTTATTACAATATGAAAAATAAACATTTAAACTGAATTTTTTTTTCAAAAGCAGCTGGGGTGTTTAAGCCGCTGATTATATTATATTTTTATTTGCTTGCTTTTTTGCGAAAGAGGAAAAGGGAAAACGAATTAGGCCCTGATGAATGCATTTCCTCCTATCACATATGCCTGCTTTATTATGCGCATATCTTTTCATTAAGCAGCGATAAAATTGTACATGCTAGCAGTGAATATGAGAAACATATATTGCATATTCTTTATAAGTACATAAATAAATAGAATTGGGGGTGCCTTTCCTTTTTTTATAATAAATACAGAAGTTTTCCTTTTTTTTTTTTTCCTATGTGAACTTTACGGGCAGGGGTGTAACCTTTCGCGTGCGTGAAAAAAAGCAAAAGGTTTCAGATGCAAGGGGGGCAATATGTAATGCGGCATATGGCGGTAAAAGGGAATGCTTTATTTGGCCGAAGCGTCTCCCGATTCCGCCATGAAACCATGGCGCTACACCATTTCAACGCGTGCCCAGCAATCCATGAAGCAACAAAATTTGCCACTTCCCATTTGACATCACTCGATAAAACCGCTTAACCTCGTAGATGTAAAAATACTTTTTTTTTCCCAAAAAAGAGGATGCAAATTTTTGGCATTTAATAAAGGGATGAGTCGCGCATTCGAACGCAGAGAATGATGTGCTACACGCATTTGTCACATTTTTGGGCGATCCCGAAGCGCCAACAAATCTGACAGCTCGGAAAAGCGGTATCCAACTCGACGTTAAAAAGAAAAAATGTTCTACACGTATGCAAATATATATGTGGATATATTTTGGCCTCTTCCACTGTTCCACTTGACTGCTAAAAAATAAAAGAGTGTCATCCCGTGGCACGAAAAATTCATTCAAATTTAATCCTGATATTTGAGGGGGGGGGGAAAACAAGGAACCCTCTATAATATAAACGTTTTAATCAGTCCATTTAAGCGGAGATGTTTCACCGTTTTGGGAGAACACCGATGTGGATGTTTGTTTTTCACCTCAGTATAAAATTTGCTGACAGATCTACGTCTCAATGTTGAAGAATTTTTCTTTTTTTCTTTTCGTAAAAGGCTTCCTCTTTTATGGAACAATTTTTAACACCTGTTGCAAATTTGTGTGTAATTTTTTCTTTTCCTTTTTGCATTAAACATTCCGTTTAGGTACACGTTTCATGTGCCCTATTACGCATGTATGCACAGGCAAGCGCATATGCGCGTACTTCTTTGTGTGGTGATAATTGGTGAGGCGCATGGTGCCGTGTGTTGCCAGTTTCAACGGCAAAGGGGTCATTTCAGTTACGTGGTCCAAAAGTTCTCCTGAAAAAATAGGAAACGCACAAATTACTCAGCATAAATGTAGATGCACATGTTCACTTATTGTGAGCAAATATATGGAGCGATTTTTCAGCCCCATAAAATCACATATTTTTAAACCATTCTTTGTTCTAAATTTTGACTTAATTTGTTTGAGCTGACACGGGTAAAAATGTAGTTTTTGTGCAAATTTTTAATTGGAAAGGAATTTAATTTTACATTTCTGTTAAGGTAAAATGGATGAGTTCAATCGTTGCGTTTTATTCACCTACTATATATAAGTCATGGTGTTTAGGGGGGACAAAAAAAAAAAAGGGTATGCCACAAAAACGGCTACCAATATTTTTGTAAGCTTTGAAAATTTTACAAATAAGCCCCATGGATATATATTTTACATATTTTTCAGTAATGGAAAAGTCAGCACTACATGGAATACTTTTTACCCACATGAAGGACTTGAATACGAACCTTCATTTTTTTAAAAAAGTAGAACCTGCATGGTATTTATATATATTTTGGTGCCGACGTGAATGTATGCATATAACGTATCCGCTTATATTGTATGTACAAATTTTACGCACCGGAAAATGCTTCACCTCCGGCGCAATGGTTCCATATAAATTTGCGATTAAGCGCGACTGGATGAAGGGGGAAAAAAAAACAATTCAGTACAAGCCAAAATTTCTGGAATGTATGTTTTTCCCCGTTGCAGATGTTAAAGCAAAACGCATAAAAAAAAAGGAAAAGTGACACGGGCAAAAAAGTACTTTTTTTTCGCACGCTATAGGCATATACATACGCAAAAGTCGCCATGAAATAATAAGCTTATAAAAAATAACGTTATCAGAAGCGACAAATAAATAGTTCAAAACTGTACAGAGCTGTACAAAATTGTACAAAAAAGTACACGTAGATGCAGGGGTCAACGCCGTTTCATATATATAATATATATGTATATATAATATATGCGTATGTAAATATAAATATAACTACTGTGAAGGCATTGGAAAAAATATATATAAAACGAAACACTGCGGCATAGCATAAGATGACAAAAAAATAAAGCAAACAGGGAGAAAAAAACACAACAGATTTTAATTATAACTGCTCTTTGCTCCAACAGAGCTGTGCTTTTTTAAGCATATTATTTTTAACTCTGTTTTTTTTTTACCATATTATGAAAAAAAAAAAAAAAAACACGTTTGCTTTGCATCTTATTTTCATTTTTCTTAATCTACTGCATTCGTTATACTTCACGGTTCTAATTATGTAAATATGAACATGTCTGTGCCAAAACAATTTGTCAGTTGTTTACATTTTGCAAAATCAGCAGTATCTCACTTGATACTTTAAACACTTTGTTCCCTTTTTTTTTTCTTTTTTTTACCTAAATTTTTAATTCCCTTTTGAACAAAATGATGAACACGGAATTCTGGCCGGACTACGGTACACCTTTGCACAGAACGAACACGCATCTACATGAGAAATATGTAGATATGTGGGAGACTAAAAATTGGGGGACTGCACAAGATGCAGTTTGATAGGGGCATATGCGCATCGACAGGAGCGCAACGACGCTGCGCTGACGAGTGTGCCGCTGCCTAATTGTGTGCTTTCAATTGCATATGCCTGCATGTTTCCCACAAACACAGCCGTGTAACCTCTTTCCTGCACCCTGTGCACAGATTACAAAACCGTGGGGAAGCTCATTCTGGAAGATGACACCGAGTTTGTAGGATACAGTGTTGGGTACGAAGGGTGCAAAGAAGAAGAGAAAGCTACTCCAAAGAGGGAAGCCACGAAAGGAAGTAATTGGAACCAAGTGCTCGAAAAGAAAAAGTATCTCAAGGAAGATGTGTTATTTAAGAATAGTAAAATTGAAAATGAAGATTATATAGTAACGGGAGAAGTTATATTCAACACAGCGATGGTTGGATACCCGGAAGCTTTAACGGACCCGAGTTACTTTGGACAGATCCTCGTATTAACCTTTCCATCAATTGGAAATTATGGAGTGGAAAAAGTACTTCATGATAATTTCGGGTTGGTGAAAAATTTCGAAAGCAATAAAATCCAAATTCAAGGTTTAGTAATATGTGAGTACACAAAAAATTCGTACCATTATAATTCGTGCATTACACTAAGTGAGTGGCTGAAATTGTATAAAGTGCCCTGCATAGGTGGAATAGATACCAGGGCGTTAACAAAAATCTTGAGAGAGAGGGGAAGCATGTTAGGGAAAATTGTGATTTATAAAAATGCGAGAAATGTTAATAAGCTATATAAAGAAATAAGCTTATTTGACCCAGGACAGATCGACACGATTAAGTATGTCTGTAATCACTTTATTCGAGTTATCAAATTGGGGAGAGTAAATTATTACAACAAAGGGAAAAGTAAAGAAGATTCCAAAGGGACAAATGATGCCATTGATTATTCCACGGAAGAACAGCAAAATGGTAATAGTTTTACCAATGGCTATAATTGCCAAAGTCTTTCGTCATTCGAAAAAATCGACTTTAACAAAAATTCAAATCAGCATTCGTTACTAAGGGACAAAATGAACCTTTTGACCTCATCAGAAGAGAATATTGATCATTGTAGTGGCTACCAGGAGTATAGCACCAATGGGGGAAAGAAGGATGCCTTCTTTAACCTACGTGGTGCATGCGAATATGATAAGTATTTGATAGACTTGGAGGAGAATTCCTTCTTCCACGACGGGAATGTGGATATGTATGGCCACTACGACGTGGAGGTGAGTCTCCAAAGGAGTGGACTGAGCGATGCGGGCAACGAGGAGTACACCACAGGCGGAAGAGATGAAGGTGTCGCCCCGCACGATGAGGCAACGTTCAACCTCAAAAACGACTACTCCACGTACGTAAGGAAAAAACTGAACAAGGAGGAATTTCTCAAGCTTGTGAACAAGAGAACCTCCGACATGGAAAAAATTATCGTCGTTGTAGATTGCGGGATTAAGAACAGTATAATTAAGAACCTAATGAAAAATGGCAAAGACCTACCCTTGACGTATATCATTGTTCCGTATTACTACGATTATAACAGCATAGATTACGACGCAGTTTTGCTCTCCAACGGTCCAGGGGACCCAAAAAAATGTGACTCCTTAATTGAAACATTGAAGAAAAGCTTACAAAAGAATAAGCTCATATTTGGCATTTGTTTAGGTAATCAACTACTGGGAATTTCTCTAGGCTGCGAGACGTACAAAATGAAGTACGGGAATAGAGG